TATATGTATGGACATTCTCGCGCGTGTATTAAGTGAACATTACAGGATTGACACTTACTGCCAGTTATAGTGTAATATAACATACTTAAGTAAGCAGCAATTAGCAAGGTGTAAAAAAAACTATCTAAAAAACAATACCCTTCAGAACACCAAAAATAGGCAAAACCCAATGGCGTTGTTCCGTTGAGCTGCATTCAGTCTTGGTATTCTGTCACCGCCTCTACTGCCGTTAGAAGGACTGTATGAACAGCCGTTGATGTGGATTTTTACACCAATTCAGCAGGGGGCCTGCATGCCTAAATGCAGGATCCTGTGCTGCACGTTTTTTTACAGGCGGTTGCGTTTGGATGAAGCTGTAAAATTGATCCGCAAACGCTACGTTTATGTGCTTTGCATGTGTTTTCGTGAATTATAGACACATCATCTTTCTGTTTGACTTATTTGGTTCTCATTAAATGTAATTATTTTAGATATTTGGCAAAAAGTGGTTTTACATCTATGTCAAGTTTCTTTTTTTTTAAGAGTATTTATTACTATGTTACCACAAGAGTAATTTAGACATGCTCTGGCTAGATTACGATGTAGTTCCCATTATATTCGGAACGAATCTGGTAGACACAAAATGGAACCTAGAGTGGAACGAGTTTGCAAAGCATGTAAATACAATTATGTTGAAGATGAGTATCATTTTATTCTAATATGCAAATGTTACCAGATTCTGAGGGAAGAATTTATGCCAAGAAAATATTATGAATTCCAAATAAATGGGGCTTCTCCCTTAATGCCCAAAAATAGTTTTCAAACACCCCCAAACTACAATTAAACAATAATCCTTTAAATTTCCCAAAACAAACCAAATTTCTAGGACTAATCTGTGATGAACATGTAACCTGGGGTGCTCACATTAAAAACCTAATAAATAGATGCAGTAAAGATCTTAATACATTACGCCGCCTGACAAGGTCCAACTGGGGGGCCTCCAAGGAGACCCTCCTATCACTATACACATCATTAATTAGATCAAAAATAGACTATCGATGACCAATATACTTAAGGATTGACTGTGTATTTTTTTCGGTTCATTGAGGTATGAATCGAAAAACCGATGTGCAAACTGTATGGATCCGCGTAGCTTATAATTAATGCTTATGATTAAATTCGACAACGTAAACCATTTTTTATCTACAATAGTTTAACCAAAAACAGTTGTATATATCAAAACAGAAAAAATGACGAGATTGATAAACATTCCAGGTGTAGGAATACATACTGTGGCGTGACATGAATCAGGTGATCGTTTAATTTATGCACATAACTTGACACGCCTACACAGTCAGTAGCAAATTAACGGAGAGTAGGATCAAAACAATATCCAATGGACCTGTCAATTAAGGCAAAAGGCGAAAAGAATTGCAACAGTCAGACTGTAACGAACCGGAAGAAATATGTCCGGAAGAAGGCGGCTGTTTCAAGTAACATGGTCAGTTACCGTCAGATTCAAACATTGCTTCCCTGGTTACGGTAAAACACAGTCGGTAAAATGCTAGTCAGAAATGAAACCCGAAGACATGAAAGTTGAACCGAGGCGAGCGGGAAAAAACAGGCGAGCGAGCCTGCATGTTTGCTGTTTCATTCATTCTCGGCCTTCGGTTTCAAAGGGTAGTTTTGACAATGAATATGCATGAAAGTCGCTAAATGTCCTGTGCATGACGATACACGTGAGCAGAAAGGGGATTCCCTCGACTGTAATATTGGGATTCCCCGACATTCCGCAGTAATAAAAGTAGTGCGCCTCGGTGGACGTGGCTTATTTTTTTATATTCATTGGAAAATGAATGCAATATTACGTGACCAATTCAGCTAATCAGAAGGCAGGAATTCCAATGAAGACAACGAAAGTTTAATTATAATACCTTAAACACAACAATAAACAATAAACTAAACTCAATCCAATACCAAGCACTCAAGATAATAACTTGCACACAACAGGGGACCTCGCTCATTTCACTGCAGGCCCAAACGGGCGAAGTCCCCTAGATTTACGCAGAGAACACTTAATTTCTGGGCCTCAACCCAACAAAACGAACACGCCGACAAAGCATCACTAAAATTAGAAGAAATAAGTAGCAACCTACCAATATCTAAAACTGAGATTAAAAGTATCACTAAAAGTAAAATCCTCCAAAAGTGTCAAAACCAATATCAGAAATCAAACTGTAAACTAAAACAGGTGCTCTAAAGGCACTCAAAAAAAACAAAAATTATTCATAATAAAAAAATCGACAGGGCAATAATCAAATTACAGACAGGGCACACTAAACTAAACTCTCACCTACACAGAATCGGAAAACACAAAACAGGTCAATGCTCTCACTGTAACCTAATAGAAAGACGTGAACACGCACTATTACACTGCACACACCACAGAACAACCCTCAAATCCACTAATCAATCTTGGCATATCCCTCCTACATCAAACTGTCCCGCAACATATAACTAGAAAACTTATCGATGTGGCGTTAAACCCAACTCCCTCACTCACTCACTCACTCACTCACTCACTCTTAATTTCAAGGCATGCCAACCTATTCCACCCTGAAACAAGATCAGGACAACACAAACACCTATGAAATGATTCAACCCCAAGGTGCAACAACAGGTGTGTACACTACTGTTTAACGCCCCTAAAGTACCAGCAAGTATAAACCAATCGGGTTACAGATAATCCTTTGACCCTTTGTTTAGGGCAACACCCATAGACTAGGATCATTACCTGTACTGAAGACCACCTACCCGTGTTCTCATGGGTAGAGCTTCTGCCAAGAGAGCTGAAGGTCGGTGATTCCCCAGCCGCGTCTTGCCAAAAGGCGCTAAAAGATGGTACTTGTTAACCTGCCTGGCACTGGGCATTAATGTGATAAACAAAAGACTGGTCTGATGTGTCTGAGTGGGGTATGTGTGTTGAACTGTGACATGATTCCGGACAAGTGAAAGCAGTCTCCCTCCCTCTCCCTTCCTCCCTCTCCCTCTCCCCCTCTTTCCCTCCCCCTCTTTCCCTTTCCACTCCATAGGATTCTTCATTTTGTAGCTCACCTGACTGAAACTCAGGTTAGCTTAATGTCATCGTAAGAGTGTCCGTCGTTAATTTCTGCACTTCGACATCTCTGAAACTACAAGACCATATTAAACTGAAACGCTGCATGAATCTTCCCATTAATTGTGTTTCTGACAATGGATAACTGAATTCCGATCAGAACTCAAGCATTAATCTGTGAATGCCAAGCACAAACTATTAAAGTAATGAAGGAAAACAAATTATTTTCCACTTCTTCTTTAGCCACATACTTTTTCCGAAAAAAAGTGTTTCCCTTTCATTACAACATTGTGTTATACCTTTTTCATTCTCTACTATTTCTCCTTTCAGATGTTCAAGCAGAGACAACACACCATATAAACACTATATGTATATCCTCATTCTGATAAAGTTTCTGCTTTTTCGGTACCTTTACATGCACCAGTATTAAGACTTATGCCTCCCCTGAAGGAAATTCAGTCGTGACTCGGGATAGGATGCGTGCTAGGTAACACATCGCAGGTCGTAAGAGGCGGCTAACATGGGAACTCTTGGGAATACCAGGTTAGAATTTGCCCCGAACAACCTCTGCTGGTCGTAAGAAGCGACTGTTGTGATAATGAGATTTGGTGATCGCCGTCATATAGCTGGAATATTACTGAATGCGTCGTTTAGCAACAAATACATAAATACACAAACAAACCCACAATGTTTTATGTATAAGTGCTCGAATTCGTGGTGTCTTAAAAATCTTGCTTGATGTCTTGACTAAATAGACTCCGTATATACAATCCATTTCAAACCGCAAGCTGAATAACACTTTGATCAAAATTGATGATATATGTATTACCATTCAATTACCCATAGTTCAAAATTATCATCGCCAAAGACTGTTCAGGTAAAAACTGTTCAGGCAGTAAGAGCATTATTAGATCTGGATTTACTTCTGGATTCTGAAATCATTTGCACATGATATGAGTTTTGTTATATTTCTTTTTAAATTTACAGGTTTGGTAGGTTTTTCAGGCTGTAATAAAAACGTACTGCGAAGAGTTACAGAAAATGAGGAAATACAAATGGTACATGAGTTATGCTCTGGAGAGAGAGCATCATGGGTTTTACGCCGCTTTACTTACAAGCAAAATCACAATGGGAGGAACCATAAATGCTTTGTGATTGAGCCTTTCATTGTCTGAAACTGGAACAGATAAAAAAATCCAAAATTTTCCTAAATAGCGAAAGGCACCAGTTCATGGCCAAACTGATACCTGTGCAAAGGTTGAACGAGAAATATGGAATTGTCTTCAAATCGCCCCTTTAACCCTTTCCTTGTTTGAACCTAAGTCAAGCTGTCAAGAAAACCAGAAAGTATATCAATTGAAACAAATCATAAAAAGCAAAAAACACTAGTTTATGGCTATGCTGATATCTGTGCAAAGTTTTATCAAGGCGGGGGATAATAACAGTGGAAAGCATACATCCTTGGCTAACACCACTGGATGCATTGAATAATATTCCCAAGGCACTGTAGCTCGCCTTGTGATGTAGTTAACAGTTTCAAGTGTCATGTCAAGGAAGTTGTAAGCATTGCTATTTTAACATCTTCTACGAAATCACTGAGGACTAAAACATTACACAAAAATGTAATGATGCGAACAAAATATGTCATCATGAGGAAAAACAAACATGCCAAAGTTCATCTCCCTCAGTTTTGTAACAATGTAATATATGTCGATAGTCATTTGAATATTCATATATTCCAAAAACTGTATAAACGTGGCTGCCAAATGATATGTCTATTGCAAGCCCTTCTCATATGGTCATCTGATTACAATTTATTAAGAAATGAAGAAAGAACCGTTCGTTTGTGTGGTGATTTATATCCACTTTTCCTTGAAAACACCACCAAATTCACTGGGTAGTCCTATTATTTGAAACACAGGTACACAGTCTGTTCTGTTGGCAGATCTGAAACACAAACAAAATGAGCTGTCAAGTAAAATCTCTTTCAGATAACATAAAATTAAATTACATCGGTAGTATTACGGATCAGAATTGCTCCTGTTACACATATATTTAACCTTTAAAAGACTACAGCGCCATTTACCAACTGTCCACATTTGGGAACAACCTATCACAGTATTGAATATTGTGAATTTGTATTTGTATGTTCATTTATTATATAATGGGTGGGTTTCTCGGCAGGATAAAGCTGACGGATAAAAACAATATCCGTTGGGGACATGCGGAAAGAGATGCAAATACTAAAGGTCAAGTAGGGACTACTTTCACTGTTTATAAACAAAAATGATGTAGCCGTTGTCATTCGGCGACCGAGTCAGAATTAAACATCGGGAATGTGGCGAAACTACAGGGATAATTCCTATCATTATGAAAAGAATAGTCTGAAAATCAGTGTCTAAATGTGACGCAGGTAAGGCATTTTACAAGTTTTGGCAACTTTGGAGATATAATTTGCAAAACAATTTAGCAAGGGCGCTGACCAAGCGGGATCACTTTACATTTCTGTTCTTGTAGACATCTGCGGCTTGGAACCTTTTCCACAAATTAAAACAGTTGGATTTGACAGAAATATGTTCGAATTGTTACCTTGTTTCGTTTTGTCACTGTTTTGTTTTGTTGCTGGTCCAGCGTCAATATATTCCGCAAAACACGCCCATTGAAGACGGATCACTACGGACCGTTTCACTACAGCGACGTCAGCGGCAGCGACTGCAACGACAGCGTCGGTACTGTGACACAGGGTCAGTCGACAGAGAGTGTATAGGAGATTAAGAAGACATGGTATCAGAGCACGTCGACCCGACCGCGGAGTGACGTTAACAGCTCAACAACAGGTTGACATGGGCCAGGCGAGTTCGACGTTGGCAAGTACGAGACGTCATGTTCTCCGATGAGGGTAGATGCTTGTACAGAAATGATGGTCGGCAGGAGTAGACAAACGAGAAGGTGAACGTTTAGCGCCAAATTGTATACACCCATGTGTCACATACATGAAATTTATGCATACTGACTTTCTACATGTTTTTGGTTTTTCTTTCATACTCTTTCAAACTCGATGTTAACTTTCCTTTGGACATTAGTTTATATCCAGCATAACTGCCCTGTCCTCATCAGATGAACATGCCGATCACATTTCTTTCATTATATATGACTAATTTTACTTTCAATACACAACCAGTGTATAAAATAGGTATATTGCTTTCAATATTGGGATGTGTTCCACCTACCTATCAAACAGAATGGAGATTTATCACAAGATTCGACTCAATCATTGCATCATTATCTAATCTTGTTTTCTTAATACACCACATTATCTATGTATGGCGAGTATCCTTTCAGATTTCGCAGTGCCACTATGCATAAAAGGGGGATCTGAGTGGATTTAATTTTGAAACTTATATCTATTTAACCGTGCTGACAGATAATGGATGAACGGTCATAAATAATCCTCAATTGTAGATAGTCCGGTTTACCATCTTGAGGCAGGTACCGTCGACCCGCAGACCTGTTTGACGTCAAGTCTGAAAAACACGTCATCTTGCAGAACGTCTGCTGTGCTGGAGATAACATCTGGGCACCTACAAAATGGAGGACTGTTTTGTGTACGGATGAATCACGTTTTCTACTGAAATGTTCTGATGGAAGTGCTCGCATCTACAGACGTCGTATCGACGCTATGCCCTGAACTGTGTGCAGGAAGTCGATAACTTTGGTCGGGGGAGTGAGTTAGTGACTCAGACGTTTACTACTTTTGTGAAACCCGGGTATGGTGCTGGGAAACCTAAAAACATGATCAGGGCGCACCGGGATTCAAACCCTTAATCATAGGCTTCTGCTGTGCTCAAGGGACGCAACTATGCACAGCGAATTGCGGCGCCCTAGACAGGACCACCCATGTCCCGGTGTATGCAGTGATTACGTCAATGCTGGATTGTCCAGAAAGGCGATTCTTGGTCTCATGTCATGAGGTTAAGTCAGGACTTTCTACACAAAGTAACCGTGCAGCGAACCTCTAGTAGCGACAACATTTTTTGTTGGTTGATGCTGTCCACCTACTGCATCAGAGACCACACAGGCACATGTTGTACAGTGTAAACACACGTCACATTATAATGCATGCATCGCCACCATATGTCATCTCTATACATAACCTCGAACATCTTAGTATACTTCCTGTTTGTACTGTACATTTTAACAACTACATCTAATACAAATAAATCATATGTAGACTGCAAACCACAATCACTTGCCTTTTTATCAATTATCATGCCAGTTCCTGCAGTGTTGATGGCGAATGTGCCTTTGGGAGTACAACTTCTGGACTCACTATATTCGGTGTAACAGTCCTTGGCCTCCCCATGCTTGCCTTTTTTTCTAGTTCCAGATGTGAAGGTGAAATCATTCCGAACAATAGCCATTGTCTGAAAACAACCATCAAACCAATAAATTACCATGAATAACACAAATGTTCCTCCAGAAGGCAATGCACGTATTATCAAGACATTGATCACCTGAACAGACTGTAACATTTTAATATTTAAGAATTTAATATCTCCTGTAAAGTTAGGGGAGTTTTCTTCCAGTTCCTGATTTGAAGATGAATCAACACAAACAATAACCATCCTACCACTTCATTTTTTATCACTATGGATAACACGGATGTCGCCTCTTCTTCCAGAACGCAAAGTTCGGATGAGACTGTTATGGGACGAGGGGAGTTCTTCTAAAATTTAAGGATTGTCGGCAAAGGCGGCTACTTACAGTGTTTCATCCAATTCCCACCGCCGCCACTGCAATTATTTATCCCAATCATTGTGTGAATATTAGTGTCATTATATTTGATAACACAGATTGAGTGGTAATATGATAAACTGGATAACCGAGGATGGTTGTGGCTAGTGTTCACACATGAACTCACCTTGGTCTGCATGTGTGAAATGTTTCTTATTGTGATATGAGCTATGCTGATATGAATATAATTCATCAACATCCATCAAAGCAATCATTCATCCCAGTTGAGATTCTGGGGCAGAATAGACTCCTGATAAAAGAGGAAACTATTCGGGATCACTTACAAAGAGTGACGTGGCTGTCATTGCGTCCTAGAGATATGGAATTTTCTCATGTTTGCTTGTTTGTTTGTTAGTTTGTTTGTTGCTGAGTGCGGCGTTAAACAACAAACACACATACTGAATACATGTATTTGGCTTTTCTCTTCAAATAAAGTTTATTATATCTAGATAACTGAGTCCTTGTTTTGTCCTTTATGCCGAGCGCAAGGCAGGATAACAAGTTCCATCTTTTTACGTGTCTTGTATGACATAGCAGGGACCGAACCATGAACCTTTCACTCTCCAGGCAAAGACACTTATGTTAATAATCACAAGTTAATTGCACTCATCAATATTGCAGCTACATGACGGCGGTCTGTAAATAATCCAGTGATTGACATTATGAGCATCGATCTACGCGATTGGGATACGACGCAATGCATCAACAAAGCGAGCCTTACAACCAGAACCTCTTAGTCGCCTCTTATGACAAGATTACTAAACATATGCTCATGATATAGTTGGAGTTGTATTATCGACTCTGCTTTCAACAGATTTCTTACGAACTTGGAAAGGTGTTGGTTGCTTTTATTTAATGAATGTGTTATTTGTTTCGTCACATTATAAATGAGATATTGCTGATACGACGTTAAATTCTGAATCCCTCATGATTAACCACGGGTATGTCTGGTCACCATTCTGTTGACAGTGTGCTGTGATATGGAGATCGTGATTGCTGACAGCTGCTCTAATAACACTCACCAATACGCTTACCGTAATATTGACTCGGATTTTAGAGAAATGTGTTGTACCAACGTTGGATATTCCGAGACCGACCATGACAGTCGTTTCTTGCTTGCAGTATTGGTTCGTTAGTTGAGGATACACTGCTGTGTTTGTGAATGGTAGAGTCACGAACTTTTGGGGAGATCCAGAGCTCATGTTGTGGCAGAATATCTTTGATGGATATCCAATAAAAGATGGGGCATCAGTGTGGATCCAGTATTCCCCATCTCCTGCGTTGGGGTCAACCTTCTTCACATCGGAGCAGGAACGGACTGGCTTTCCTGAATCGAGTTCAAATGTAAAGAGTTATTCTTGAAGCCTCAGATACATTAAGGTGCTGAAAAATATGCTATGGTCAAGCCAAAAATGATGATAGAAATCGCCGAAGAGGTTCACCCCTACCCCACACAACAAACCTAAGATAAAAACTTCATTTCCTGGCCCATTGGTCATTTGTTACTTAACATGGTAACCATAGATATAGTTACATCTCTGTCTCTAAAGCTTCAAGGCAAATTGTGAAAAAATGAAAGCCAGTATCACCTGAAGTTTACAAAGAAAACAATATCAAATACGAAACTTCCTCATAAATAACATTTCTGTGAAATTTGGAGATAGAACATTAAAGCAAGAAGCAGGCTTCCAATGGGTACTATTTGTATTATATAGATGGTCTGATATAGAACAATAATGGTCAAATAGCCACTTCCCTTTCACTGATGTACTCTCTTGAGCTTCAACTAAATAGACCAGTGAAACAGTCTCTTCTGTTGCATATTTAGTTCCATTGATGAAAATATCTTTTGTTTGTCGTTCACAACTTTGAAGTACAATCGAGGAGTAAGAAATGATTGAATGTACATTTGTGACAAAACAAGCAAATATATTGATTTTTAAAGATAAGATGTCTAAGATACCCACCAGCATTTGTCTATTATGCCAATTTTGTTTTGAAGTTTTTAATCCATTTTTTTTTTTAAATCATGTAGAAGAATTCTTTGAGTGCTGACTAATTCCTAGTACTGTTCATTTTTGGATATAACATCGCAAACTTAGGATATTGTCAATATTGGAAATCAACTGAGAGGTGTAATTTCGTTTGGTCCTCAGTTGATATCATAAGCGTGTTACGTCGCCAATAGGTGACACATTTCCAAATCGAAGTTGATATCATGTTCAAAACGAAGGCAGTAGGTAACAGCTCAATGATGAAATCTTTGAATGTTAATCGAGTTAAGATTTTATCAGGTATTTTTCATTCCTACATACATGATTTTCTTAGAAACACAAAGAGTGAAATGTCCCCACAGGGGACACTTGTGCACTGGCCATGTATCATCGTGAAATTGCAGGCTTATCGGTCTAAACAGGCCTTTCTTTGCCTATTTTTGAGTTATATACTTTCGTGAACCAAGAATCTATGAAATGTATAATACGCCATCAATATCACAAATATAGATTATTCGAACCTTGTTTCTTGACCAAAGTCCTGGCGCCTGGTTTTGCCTTTCCAGATGTCAGTAAGGATGAGCGGTAGATGGAGCACTGACCATCTTGTAACGTCACGGCAGCACAGATGTCATCCCTGGAACAGAGGCTTACACAAATCAGTTCAGAGCGAACTTGGTTGATACTGGCTGGAGTCTCTTGAGCTTCAAGGTTGTTTAGTGTAGATTGTCTGTCAAATATGTGTTGGATAACAGTGTTCCCTGTAACAGAGACAAATTGTAGAAGTATCAGGGCCAGCATCATTCTGGGAGAAGATCTGTGTGACACGTTACACAAACACCACCAGGTAACAAAACCGATCAATAAGCTCTCATTATTCTAACTTCGATCAATAGTTGCCGAAGTGGGCAAGACAAGATATTGTTGTTCAATTGAGGTCTATTGTTTCACACGTTCATTTGAATCACGGGGATAAAACACTCTGATAATTATGTGCATTATTCATCACCAAAAAGGTCTTTTGGTAAACTCGCGCCGATGTCAGGCGAATGACAGTCGTATGTATCGATCTTTCCATTACACAAACCAAATTGTAGGTTTGATTGAATTGTGAATGGTGAAACTTCGAATCGGGAAGGAGTCTATCGCTTCACTCGAAGGAGCCGTCAAATAACGGGAATATTGAGGTCATTGGAAAAGTGTGATATCACGGATACTTCTGCTTTTATTTCTGATTATATAAATGTTATTTACTTAACGTGCAGGGTGTGATTTCTTTCTGTTGGCTAGGTCAGATTGTGTAACAGTCGAGTCGGATGTGTCGAATACCGGATAGGTCGAACTGGTAGATAAATGTTTAAAAATTAAGAGATTCGACTTCATCTTTCGAATTGCTGTATTTTTGTTGTCCATATATGACTGACAGAATATATCATTTACCCCAATTCCCAACCCCTGAACACAAGGTTATGTAGTACATATGGCAAAATTGAAAGCCCGTAATCCTTTTTCTAAAACTTAAAAAAAGGGTAGGTTTATTCAGTATAAAAGGGGTTCACAAACATGGGTGTATAAATAAAATATGCTGTTCGTGGTGCAGTGTTTGACCATGGGAATAAGAAAACCGCGAATATTGATTCTGAAGGTAATGGAAATCTAAGGCTATTTAAGTGATGTTAGAGTCGCATCAATAATCAAAATGACACGCCACACTGCAACATCTTTTTTCCCATTGTCGTACATCGTCTTGGAGACTCATAGCAATTCCGGAACAGATTTAAGGCCTCAGTATCCCACGCCTGTGTGTGATCAATGTCCCAGCAAACAATTCTGTGTTGTGACATCGTTGGCTTTTCGTTGCTACAACGTTGTGATGTAACGTTGTCAAAACGTAAATCTGTAGACTTCCAGTTTGGTTGCTACAACCAAATGAAGACGTTGTCACAACGTCCATTTCCTACGTCGTTACAACGTTTAACCAAAACATTGCGAAAACGTATGTCGCATACATATGGGCGACAATTCAACCAATGCAGGACGTTGGTGCAATACAATATATATATATATATATATATATATATATATATATATATATATATATATATATATATATATATATATATATATATATATATACTCTGGGAAGTCGATTTTAATCGTCACCCATACCACACTTCCTTGGGGTGCCTTAACAACATTTGATACCAAAGTGGTTTGGATCGATTGGAGGTGTTCTGGTACTACTCGTTTGGTTTGGTCTGCCAAAAGAATGTGTAGATCATGTATAAAAGTCACTTTTACACCACGCTGATTCCCCAAATTGTAATAAATGGACACCGTGATATATTCCTGCATCTGCCGAAACAAATAAGGTTTGACATAGGGTTTTCTATGTCAAATGAAAACAAAACAGGAAGTTAAATTCAAAATTTATTCATTGAATGTCTGTGGAGTCTTCATTTATTCCTGTAGTTGATCTCTGCAATATAAAATAACGTATATACAGTCCACTTGTACTACAAGTATAACAATACACATATAGATACTGTATTAATTAGCATAGAAAGTTTCAAAACTTGTACAGTACGTGAAACTGTATTTCAAAGTTATATTGAATATTTAAGAATTAACTTCAAAAGGCTTTTGTGTAAATGGAGGTATAAACTGAAATACTGGTGTATACACTGTTTAAATTTACGCAAAGTGTCCACAACGGTATTTACGCAAAAAAGCATATTTAAGTTAATTCTTATAAATAAATACGTCAACAATTCACTTGACATACTGCTTATTTATTACACACAGAACTCTAGAGACAGCAATACGAAATCAGTGACATATAGTCCAGGACTGGTGCAACACAAGCCCCTCTCATCTAGCTCCTTAATGCCGAGCGCCAGACACGGTAACAACAAGTACCATCGTTTAACGTCTATAGGTATGACGCGGCCAGGGCCTCGAACCACTCCGCTCTCCTTGTAGACGCTCTTTCCACTAACATCGGATATGTCTAGTGACAGTCGCATTTAGGTATTTAAAGCGTACATTCGGTGAGAAATTCCCACCTGTCATCCTGAACAACAGTCTATGTTTCAGGTATATTGATAAGTTAGTTGAATAGTGCTGATGCTCGAGGTGTTTCTGTGGCCTGAAATATTAATGAGGTATTTTTACTGCTGTTTGCTGATATTTGTACAACAGAGGAAACTAACTAATTTAGAAACGTCTTGTCACAAATTGGACCTAACTGATACTTTGATCATGTGCGAACTAATGGTATTAGAAAATGGAGACACATTGTCAAATCACGAAATGTGGTTTTACAGATCTTTATACTGATGTATTGGGTGAATAAAGAAGCAGGATTCATGTACAGAGATGTGTGCCTTCTGACACATGTCAATGCATTGTTATCTTACGTTGTACAAATATGCTGAATTAGCTAATTGAAGTTGAGCAACAGTTGGTGGAATATATTGTTTAGGTATGTATTTGGAAATGTAAATAACGCAAGATGTTTGCAATTATAATGGTGTTATTAACGAACTTTTAAGGGATGTTTTGCCCAAGACTGGCATTCTAGTGCAGCTAACTCTTCAAGAATGTTACGCTTTGCAAAAGTTTATATTACAGCCTGAACATATTTATCATCTGTAAAATCGGTGAATGTAAGAAGAGCTATAACAACATTCCTATACTGAGCAAATGATTTTAGAATCCAGAATAACAGAAGATCTAATTATAATCTAGACGCCTGAAGTTTTTAGACAATGGATAATTAAATAGGAAACCATAGATCATCAATTTTGATGAAAGTGTTACTTAGCTTTTGGTTGAATGTGAAATGGTTTGTATTTACGGAGTCTATTTATGCATAATATCAATATCTTTTTAAGAGGTCTTGAATTCAAGCATTTATATTAAGACATTTCGCCACAATATTTTATATGTATTTATCTATTTGTTGCTAACGCCACATTCGGCAATATTCCAGCCATATGACGGCGACCTGTAAATAATCTAGTCTAGACCAAAAAGTGAGTGAGTTTGGTTTGACGCTACTAACTATATATCACTTTCGCAGCGAAAAGCTGCAAGATTGTAGATGCGGCGTCAAGCAATAATTACTCACTCACTCAGTCACTGTATTTTAATTATATTATAGCGTGTATGGTTTATATGGAAGGGCAACCAAGATGACGCGGGTCGTTAACATCCATCTCATTGGTCAAACCAAGGATCAAAATCATAGAGATCTCGGGAATCGAGTCCACGATCATTGGACCCTAACATAACGAAGATATACAAAACACAGACATGTTTGTATGTGTCTCAAGGCCTCATTCAGAAATTTTCAAGCTAAGTGATCGAGGCCTGTAACACTCAAGTCTGCACAAGACAAACCAGTGACTGATATCATGAGCAACGGCCCACGCCGTCGCGCGATCACATGCAATCCATAAAGTGTTTGTCCGAAACATTCTACTCTGCGTTTGTGCGTGCGTATGTACGTGCAAGTGTGTGCGAATCGTTCAACGCCGCATTCAGCAACATTCCAGCTGTATGACGGTGGCCACCGACTCACCCTATCACTACCCCTAGCGCCTTACGACCAGACTCGGTTGTTAGGGGCAGATTCGAACCCGGTATCCCTGGGGGTTCCCAAGATAGTCACCTCTAACGACTAGCCATAGGTTACATAGCACACATTCTACCCGAGACAAAACTGAATCTGCCTCAGGGACGCCATAGGTACACGTAGAAATCACGTAAAAAACAGAAGCTTTATTACAATGAGGATACATCATATGTATATATAACTTCAATGCAAGAAAATAATCAGTCTTGAGTATCCGCCGACACAGATTCCATAGGGCGTAAAACGCAAACGCAGTGAAAAGTATAAGCATAGATCACTGAAAATCAGTGATGACACCAGCGAATAGGGTAAGTACGTCCTCCCCCAACGATAGCACCCGCCATTCACACAATTTGCATACATAACTACATGGAATAAAGAAAGTATGAGAATGTTTGGTCTCTTGTGCTTGTAAAACAATACTTTTCAATGAATACACAATGCCATGTAGAAAGTGGTCAAATGTAACAAATGTTATATTTGGGATAACACTTTCTTAGTAAAGTACAGATTCTCGTACTTTTAGGGGGTTGAGTCCCGTCCGGGATTCGATACTTTTCAACAACAAATATCTTCTATTTAAGATTTTCTAACGATGGTCAATTTTCATACACAGTTGTACCGCTGTGACTGGTGTTTATGTAGTGCGTTGTCTCTGCTTGAACACCTGGAAGGAGAAACAGTAGAGGAAAGACACAGTGTTAATATAAAAGGGAAAGAGTACAGTTCACACGGTAATACAGCACTGTCACGTTATTCACGAAGTGCAGGTCATCGGCCAATTACATGTTGAAACACTGCTGCAGCCAATTTTTACATTTCTTTTCTCACATTATTTGCATAAAAAAATTAACATTCCCTAGTTTTGTAAACTAGCAAATATATAATTTTTGGGGGGAACATTCAACTGACACATGTGTTCTACGCAAATGCATTACATATCAATAGAAAATGATATTCACTTTCAATATATCCACAGGAACAGGTTTCTTGACATGCCCAGTTTCTATTATATACTATATGAGCGTGCAAAAGTCACTCGCAATTTATTTATAGTGATAAAGCCAATATAAAACACGAAAACGCTTTAAAGCCTAGAGATAGGGAGGCATGCCAATCCTGTTGTTTAGTATATTGTCAGCTACAAGGAAACAAAAGAATCTATCCTAACACTAGGACTGGTCTTCCTTCACAAAACCAAATCTCGTTTTATATGTTAATTATTTCAACTTTGAAAGCCTCTTTATTCTTCCCTTGCTAGCATCAAGTGAAAATAAGTTATAACACTTTTTGGGAAAATTAAAAGTTGGCTTAACATGAACTTATACTGGTATTTTAAATAACGTTTATAAGCAAATTTAAAATATGGGATATCTTCCACATTCACCAAGGACAATGTGGTTGGGTGTGGATAGTTTTACACTGAGATAATGTGTCATGTGAGGTCATGTGGAGTTCGACGTCGCGTTCAAGAATATTGCACATGTGTGGCTGTGTGTTTGTGTGTGTGTCTCGCTGTATGTATGTGCCTGTCTGTCTGTCTGTCTGTGTGTGAGGCTACTCGTACTGGTCTGGAGATACCATGAAACAGCTTAACATACATACCCCACTAAGACACAATATACTGACTCCGAGCCGACCAGCCCTTGTTTAAGCTCCTTATAGCCGAGAGCCAGGCAGGGTAACAACAAGTACCATTCTTAAACGCCTTTTTGCATGCACGGTTCGAGAATCACCGACCTTCAACTCTTCGGGGAGACGCTCTACCCACAAGAACACGGAGTCTTCAGCACTGGTAATGATCCTAGTCTATTATGGGTGTTGACCTTAACAAAGGGTCAAAGGTTTATCTGTAACCCAATTGGTTTATACTTGCTGGTACTTTAGGGGCGTTATACAGTAGTGTACATACCTGTTGTTGCACCTTGGGGTTGAATCATTTCATAGGTGTTTGTGTTGTCCTGATCTTGTTGCAGGGTGGAGTAGGTTGGCATGCCTTGAAATTAAGAGTGAGTGAGTGAGGAAGTTGGGTTTAACGCCACATTGAGCAGTATTCCAGTTATATTGCGGCGTGCCAGTTTGATGTGGGGGAGATACGCCAAGGTTATGTAGGTCTTAGACGTCTACCACGATAGTGTAACCTACCAAAGCGGGTAGACTGCTGACAAACCCAGAAACATTATAAAGGAGAACCGGGATTCGAACCCACGATTAAAGGTTTCTGTCACGCTTAGTCAACTGCGCCACCCATATCCCTTCAAATTAAGATACAGTTATTGGCGACATTGCAAGATACTAAACACCTTCACAGGCCACTGGGAGAGATGATAAAGCCTTACAGCTATGGAATCCTAGAAGGGACATCGCCGCGTTGTCGCCCTTTTTAACGCCTGTGTACACAGTTTAGATGTCGCTCTTGATTACTTTTGACACATGTTGCTTGTTTTTGTATGGGCGACAAAGCCATAATGTCCCTTCTTGGATTCCATATAAAACTCCCTCGTGGCACGGGAATTTCGGTTACAAATAACACTGGATTCTCAGTGCCTTTGAATCACCACGGGGACAGTTAAGAAAGGATTGATATCATGTTTCTTATAAATAGAACCTTCGATTAATTCATAAACGATTGTGTCTCATATGTGTGTATAGAGTATATTAAATGTAACCGTTACATACCGGGGTTCTGGTGCCTTTGGCTGAAATAAAAGATGTAGAAAAAAATTATTTTGATTTAATACCTAAAACAAGTTTAGTGCAATAAAACCGAATATTTGTAGTGACATTTAAGTTTTTAAAGAACATCGAGTGAAGTGAGGTGAAGTAGGGTTTAACGTCGATTATTGCACTTCTATAACATGCATGCACCTGTGTGTGTGTGTGTGTGTGTGTCCGTGTGTCCGTGTGTGTCTGTGTGTGTGTGTCCGTGTGTGTGTGTGTGTGTGTCCGTGTGTGTGTGTGTGTCCGTGTGTCTGTGTGTCCGTGTGTGTGTCTGTGTGTCAGTGTCCGTGTGTCCGTGTGTGTGTCCGTGTCCGTGTGTCTCTCTGTCTGTGTGTGTGTGTGTGTGTGTGTGTGTGTGTGTGTGTGTGTGTGTGTGTGTGTGTGTGTGTGTGTGTGTGTGTGTGTGTGTGTGTGTGTGTGTGTGTGATTGTACTAGTCCGGACCAATGCCGATTTTATAGTGCTAGCCCACTGAGATACCATGCTGCAGTTTTACATGAGTACCCATGAGTACCCCACAGTGTACTGTTCTATTCCCCTAGCACCGAGCGCCAGGCAGGGCAATAACAAGTACCCCGTTTTAATGTCACTTGTTATGACGCAGCAGGGAATCGAACCGCTGACCTCTGCTCTCCGGGTACATGCTCTGTCCACTAAAGCACGGGGCGGTCCGGACGTCGAATAGTTGTAGTCACAGTTTTCCATTTAATTATTTAAATTGCACGTCGTGTGAGAAGTTCATACCTGTCATCTTGAACGTCAGAAGCTGTTTCTGGAACAAAGAAAACACATTCCATTAACACCTTTTCTTTCTCTGGGCCGTGCTTTCAACCGGGGTAGATCCCAGGCCAAACAGATGAAACTAAGCAATTGGTTTCACAAGTGTTTGACGTTAATAAGAACTATGTGACCCTGGCAGATGATGGGAAACCTCCCTCGTTATATATTCATTACTGAGCGGCTATCCACTGGCTACTGAGCACTGCCTAATCGTCGGGAATCAGTTGGAATTATTATTAGAGACATGAAACTTTTCAGACACTGCTTCTAATTATGACATTCTTTTCTATGAGTGTGTGGGAGTGAGTATGGTTTTACGCCGCTGTTAGCAATATTCCAGCAATATATCAGCGGGGAAGCCAGAAATGGGCTTCACACATTGTACCCATGTGATGAATCGAACCCGGGTCTTTGGCGTGGCGAGCGAACGCCTTAACCACAAGGCTACCCGACCTCTCTTTTACGCGAAAGAAGGAGCCACAGGATTGAATAAAAACATAATACCACAGTTTGCTTTTAGGACATCCGGGATGTACAGTGAACAATTCATTTGTTTCCGGCCCTCCTCCCCATCACCATCCTCTCGAGGCAGGGGAGTTAACTGACTATAAAGCGGAAACTGGATTTTCATAGTCAGTTATAGCCCTTGCTTCGACAGATGCCCCTTCACAATGTATTACATACATTGTCGGTCCACTATTTCCTTACTTCATTATTGCGGGTTAAATCTGTAAGTCTCTGCAGTCTGTTTATTTGTACATACCTTTAGTTTTGGCGAAAGACTGACGTTTTGACTTAACTAGGGGTATAGTTAATCCAATAATGAGCACAGAAGATAGTCCAAGTGCAACTCCGAGCCCAATGACCGCTACAGGAGATGTACGTGTGCATGCATCTGGTAAAGACACACAATATGTCATTAGTGCCAAAAATCGAATAGAATTTGCATATCAGAAAAAAACGTATTCAAATGACACGTGTAAAACGGTTGATCTCACATACTAACCAGAAGGATACATATGGGAAGACATACTGTAGGCATCTGCCATGTCCACTGAATCACCTGCCGGTCTAGCTGCTCTCTTAAGTCGCCTTTTCGCGAACACCTGGTGTCATCACTATTTGATAGTGATTCATTAACACATTCTTATTCATAGTTGGAATCGTTCAATGGACTCTGCATTTAGTAGAGATTTCATATGCTTATGGAAAGTGTTTTGTCGTTTGTATTTCAAGAGAACCTTTGTTTATTTGTATTATTTTTCACTAACACTTTTTGAAGGACATTTAGCAGTTCATGATTCAATGTGTGCGTTCCTCATGTTCACACTTGACGACCTCTTGACCTAGTGCAAACAGGCACCAGACAATTGGTGTCTGCTTTTGGAAGAGATTTCTTATAACTATGGCTTTGTTTGTTCCTTTGTTCATGTACCTGATGTTTTGGAAGATATGGCCTCGGTGAAAGGACTGGTGTTGTTTCCTTCCCAGTCGTTACGAGACAGAAGTTTCATCTCATAGACGGTTCCGGGGGTTAGTTGTGGTATCTCGGCATACACAAACCCACCCGGGTTATCACTGAAGCTCCTCACCCCCCAGGCGCCACCCCCAGGTACCCGGTAATACAGGGAGAAGGTCTGTGTGAAGTCCCCACCAGGAGAGTTTGGCTTCCACTTTACAATGATACTGGTAGAGGTTGTTGCAACTATTTGAAGATCGAGTGGAACCCGAGGTGGACCTGTTAAACGGAAAATAATATTAATATCCAGTCTTATTGAAATCAGATCTTATTTATCGCTACAGCTCAGAAAGCAGCTTTCTCAAGCTTTACGGCAGTCGTCTAAGGCGCCGCGATTCGCTGTGCAGAGTTGCGTCCCTTGGTGGACACGCCAGAAACCTATGATTGTGGGTTCGAATCCCGGATCGCCCCGATTATGTTTGTTGGTTTGTCAGCACCATACCGGTGCTCATGGGTTTCACCTAAGTGGTAAACGTCTGAGACCTGCATCACTTCGGGCTTTCCTCCCACATTAAGCTGACACGCCGTGATATGACTGCAATAAAGTTAAAAGCGGCATTAAACCCAACTCACTCATTCGTCTTACGAGGATCCGCTTATCGTGGGGTCGAACTCCAGATCATACCCGTGCTCGTGGGTTTCACCAAAGTGGTGAATGTCTGCATCATCTCGAGCTATCCTCTCCCTTTAAGCTGGCCCGCCGCGATGTTACAGAAATACTCTATAAAGTGGAATTAATCCTCTCCTAGTAAAAACATTACATAATCAAGCACCGACCATTTCATTTTGAGGTCTGGGATTTGTTTGTTTTTTAAAGAATAGTTTATTCAGGCAACGCTTCAAGACATACAACAATCTTTTGTCTCTAAACGAATGAAAAAAACATTTTTTAAGCATTTTTTAATATTTTTTCAGAACACCCAGCATGTCTTGTGAACGTTTGTTCAATAAAACCTGAGGAGAAATTATTTTTTCGGGCATTTTAGGGGGGTTAAATACCAGGCCACCAGATTTTCAAATGGTCGCTCCATAGTGGTAAGTGACTTACCTGCCAATGAGAGTGATACGGATGACTGGGTGCATCCCCGGGCGTTGCACACAGACACGACATACTCCCCTGCATCAGCCGGCTGAACGCGTCTCACAACAGTGGACACAACAAAGCCGCTGCGTAAAGCCTTCAGATTGTTCCTTCTCAACGTTACCATTACAGATCTGACTTCACCCTCGGACACAACTAAACCACCAGGTGATGTCCAGTTGACGGACGAATAGTTCATGCTGCTGCTGTAAAATGTCTGTTCCAATGTAACGTCTTGCCCCGGTTCTGCAGAAACGTTCCCTTCAGCGTCAGGGGTAAACTTGGGATATGCTGCAGGTGAAAAGTGACTTCAAGAGAAATTAAGACGTCGTATATATTTTCAGAGATGTTTAAGCAGTGTATATTTTTTTTACTAACACTGTATGAAGAAGGTTTTAGCAGCTGATGATTCAATGTGTAATTTTCTCATTTTTCAGTATTGACGACCTCTTGACCAAGAGTGAAAACGAGAACCAGACAATTATAGCTGTGTGATTAGTTCGTTTGTTTGTTTGCTGATTTGTTTGTTTGTTGATTTGTATTTTGTTTGTTTGTTTTGTTGTTTTTTTGTCTAAGGCTTCATTCAGCAATATTCCGGCTACATGACGGTGGCCTGTAATTATCGGGTGCAGACCAGACTCGCCGGTATAGCGAGCCAAGTCCCACGCTATCTGGTACGATGACACGGAATCACGCCGGTATAGCGAGCCAAGTCCCACGCTATCTGGTACGATGACACGGAATCACGCCGGTATAGCGAGCCAAGTCCCACGCTATCTGGTACGATGACACGGAATCAGTCAAGTTACCAAGGTTGACCACCAGATGCATATAATCACATGCTTTAAATTGCCAACCCAGTACCCAATAAAACCCAGCAGCACTGAATATCTTACCAAAATCTAAACCTGTTCACTCAACTACAAGATTGAAAGAAATATATATATTTACATATATTTATATGACGTGGGAGTTTACAGAAAATTTAAATTCACTTAAATACAATACTCACACCATGAACACACAATGCAAGTTTGAAAGTGGTCAAATGTAACAAACGTACTTTTTGGGTTGAGTCCCGTCCTGGATTCGAACCCACATTGCCAGAGTGAGGCACCTAATCGACGGCACACAAAGTCACCGAGCTAACCCATTTAGCCACAGAGGCTTCCACAAAAATGTACGAGAATCTGTACTACACTGAGAAAGTGAAAATATAACATTTGTGAATACTCACACCATTTAAAATTTGAAAAAAAACATATTCACCATTCACAATGACGCTGACACGTTTTCTCTGAACTACGGTGTTATTAGCATCCTTGACTCCGTTGTCAACGCTGCACTCGTACACGCCGTCGTCAGTGTAGCTGGCATCAGGGATTACCAACGTGTAGCTGTTCGCAGATTGTCTACCTGGTACTATACCGACTAGGTTTTCCATCCAGTATTGAGAGAAACTCCTGAAGTTGTAGTTAGTCGGACGACCATCCACTTCACAAGTTAGAACCAACGTTTGCCCCTCGTTGACCTCGACTGGATGGAAGACTATATCAGGTGCATCTGGCAATTCAAATGTCATTGACAAGTTAGTATTTATATAACTGCCACATGGAAACTACGCGTGAACATCCGGGTTACACTTGGTCTTCAACAACTATGCTTGTAGTAAGAGGCGACTAAGGTTGGTTGGTTGGTTGGTTGGTTGTTTTACGCCGCACTCAGCAATATTCCAGCTAAATGACGGCGGTCTGTAAATAATCGAGTCTGGACCAGGACAATCCGTCATATGGCTGGAATACTGCTGAGTGTCGCGTTAAACAACAAACAAACAAACATGGACACTACAACAGATGACAAGACACGTATTACAAAAACATAACCAGAAAATTGTGGTTTCACCACATTGACTCTGCGATTATGTAACTGTTTTAACTGCTTTAAAACGCGTCGTAGATAGATATTGTTTCTGACGTATATCATCCCTTTCATTAAATATGACAGCCTCCGTGGCGTAGTGGATAAAACGTCTGCCCGGGGATTGGAACGCCGGGGGCGCGGTCCCCGACAGCCTCATACCAAAAGACGTTAAGATATGAAACTTGTTGTTTCCCTGCCTGGCGTCGGCAAACAAGGAGTTTGTTTGTTTGTTTAACAGACAAACAAACAAAAAAACAAACGCCTTGTTTTAGGCCCTTAGTGCCGACGCCAGGCAGGGAAACAACATACATACATACATTAAATTATTTGAAAGCATTCATTTTAAATAAGTGTCATCAATAATAACGTACACAAAACCTCAAGTATTGCCCTTTTTGACCGTGCTGATGTCTGACCGTTGACGTTAGAAGCTTCACAGCGAGTTATTCCCCCCTGATCTGCCCTGCTTATAGTGGCAGTGACAGTGCTTGTTGTCTGTGCCAGGACACCAGATGTCGCCACGGTGTCAGTAGACAACCCTACAACAGCGCGAAGTCCGGACCAGGTCACTGTGGGGTTGGGGAAACCTGGGGAGGTCACACAGGTCAAGGTCAAATGTTGTCCTTCAGCTATTGCCAGCTCTTCATTGTCAGAAGTGATGTTTGCCAATGTCACAGACGAGACGGGTACTGAAACACGATCGGGCTACTTTAATGGATACTTGTGGTTCATACTATCGAAGATGTATCATGTACAATACAATAATGGACATTTGTAATGGCCCTCGTCCCCCTACTGATGCAAGCTGTGAGTGCTACATTATTGTTACACTTATCATTGGATTCGCGTGGACTCGAGCTTCAGACTCATCTTCCTGAGGAGTATTCAAATCAAACTGCCTCTCGAAGAATGTACTAAAATGTTTACAGGCACATAGCATCTCTTCCTACCGGGTACCCATTTACAGCAGGATGAATAGAGACAACCCGTTAGCCTGTGGTTTAGTGTGGCGCAGGACGGAAGCCCAGGAAACTCTAGGAGCCAAGCTTGTCGAACATGGTAATCGATCCACCTACTCTCCCCAACCAAAGTTGTTTCATTTGTGACATAGGCGCTGAACCAACCACGTGCATCCACAGTAAGGAATAGAAACTATTAGCTGAATTCCACGTAAGCATTTATTACTGTTTGATTCTAGACCGCTTCCGTGGTCTAGTGGTAGAACGTCCGCCCGGGGCTAAAACAAGGACTGGTCGGCTCGGAATCAGTAAACTGTGTCTGAGTGGGATATTCATGTTAAACTGCGGCATGGTATCTCAGTGAGCTAGCACTATATATCGGCATCAGCCACACAAACACACACAAACACGTACATGCACGTCGCTATATAAGGGCAATAATCTTGGACGCGACGGTAAACCCCATTTCACCTCACCTCACCTCCTGTTTGATTCTAAACGTATTTAGACATCTATAACAAATCATATACACTGTTCTTCGTGTCCAATCCTTCACGAAATCCACCGAACCTTAACTGACTTGTTACTGAAATCAAGAAACGACTGTAAAATTTTGAATTGTTTTGACAGTGAATCCACGGACCTTCCGGGTCATATTAGTCCCGGGCACTTCATGTTCGGTGTCCGTCGATTATTTACAGGGCACATCTAGATGTGGCTTACTTTACTTGGCCTATTGTTGAATGTGGCGTTAAAACACTCACAACAGGAAAGTGTTTGTTAAACCCACATTCTTGTACCCAGACCTTGTCCCGAGAAGATTGTTCGGGTTAGAATTGGTCTTCAGCAAGAGGCGATGCATAAGAGGCGACTAACGGAATCGGGTGGTCAGGCTCGCTGACTTGGTTGATGCATGTCATCGTATCCTAAGTGCGTGGATTGATGCTCATGATGTCAATCACTGGATTGTCTGATCCAGACCAGACTATTTGCAAAACGCCGTCATATAGCTGGAATATTGCTGAGGGCGGCGTTAAACAACAAACAAACAAATTTACCAGGAAATTGTATTGCCCCAGTCGATCTTGACCTTGTGTATGTGGGAGGGTCAAACGAGTCATGTTCCACTGTGACTGTCAGGGAGATCGTCCTGTTATATAGACTGGCTGTGTTCCCTGATAGAGACAGGGTGTTGGTGGTCTGGACCTGGCCTGAGGGACAAGAACCCTGGGAGGAAGATGTCCTGCTGGGAAGGAGGCCTCTCTGAAACAGAAATCAGGAGTTAGAGAACCAGGCTGTGTTCCCTGATAGAGACAGGGTGTTGCCTGTCTGGATCTGGGCCCCGTTCCACAAAGCGATCTAAGCCCTACGACTACCGTAGGCCTGTGTTAAAGTATGGGAGTTACGATCATCTTAGCGCTACGATCGCTTTGTGGAACAGGGCCCTGGCCTGGGGGACAAGAACCCTAGGAGGAAGATATACTGCTGGGAAGGACGCCTTTCACTCCCTAAAACAGAAAACAGTGGCAAGGAGGGCTGGGTGTCTCTCGACTTTGTTCCTGAGTAAGGTTTACATAAGAGAGACGAACAAGGCCCTTGAAGAAGAGACCCTTGGTCTTCAACAACCAATGCTTGCCGTAAACGGCGGCCGACGCGATCGAGTGGTCAGGCTCGCTGACTTGGTTGATGCATGCCATGGATCCCAATTGCGTGGATCGATGCTCATGATATTAATCACTGGATTGTCTGGTCCAGACTCGGTTATTTACAGGCCGCCGTCATATAGCTGGAATATTGCTGAGTGTGGCGCAAAACAACAAACCAACCAACCATGGAGAAGACGTCACCACAGAGAGAAATACAACTATGTGTTCTAGGATGACTGGAAAAGAATAATTGTGCTTCAGATCAAACAAAGTTGAAAAATTCTTCGCTGGACATGTTGGATGTCCTGAACAAAACATGTTGAGAAATAGAATAAGCTTGTTCGTCACCTCCTTCAATGAAATCAAATTCCTGACTTAAGGAAAAGGACCGCCTCCGTGATCTTGTGGCAGAGCGTCCGACCAGAGTGCGGTAGGTCGTGAAGTTAGATCACCGACCGCGTCATACCAGTATACTGTGACTGAGAGGGGTGTCCATGTTAATGCCTCATGGTGTCTACGTGCACCAGCACTATAAACTCGGCAATAGTCCGGACTAGTACAAGCCGCCACACACACACGTGCATGTACGTCGCTATATCAGTGCAAAAGAAATAAACCCCATTTTACCTCACCGCAAAGGCCGAAAACGACCAATATGTCTGTTTCACCATTGTTTCGCTCAAACAGTCGCCTCTCACAACAAGCACAGTTGGGAACCACTCCAGCCCGGCATACCCAAGTGAGGCAACAGACGACATAAGAGCAAACTAGTTTCACCTGTTGATACGTCCACGTGATGACAGCAGCAGGATCAGCACATGGCGCGGTGACGCTGATGCTGATGTTTCCGTCTGGTGTCACGGAGGAGGGGAGAGACGTCAGCCGAGGAGTGTAGGTTACCAGGTCCCAGTCAAGTACAGCTGTGATGTGAAAGGGTTAAACCATGGAAAAGGTAAATAAGAAATATTTACTAGAACTAACAGTGTGGGTTTAGCATGAAAAACTTCAAAACTGGGAATTTAAGCTTTTGTTATCCCAAGTCACTTGCAATTCATAAGTGGTTATACCATTTGATATTCTGAGGATTAGGGAAGGGCCTTGATAACATTGAAAAAAAATTTGTTCCGAAAAATTCTGTAAAAATAATTCGTCTTTCGGTATTACCTAGGAAACTAAATCCTTCACTGAGCATGCTGGCTCACTCTATATGTTATGGGTGAAGGGGCGGTCAACCTCTTCTTTGAGAGAAATTATTTCATGTTAAAAGCTCAGATAGCAAACATAGTCTGTTTCAAACAAAAGTCAACCTTTCATTATCACTTACATGCAAACTGAGACAAGGGGATGGAATTAGAAAATAGATCCCCCCCTGCGTTACATGTCCATGTTCCATTGTCTCGCACTGGGTCCACTGACTGGATGTAGAGATGCATCTCTCTCGAGGAATTGCTTTGAGTCACAGAGTACTCAGGGAAGCCAGATCCACATCGGCCTGATGCCGGAAAACACCCGCCCTGGATGGAACTAGACTTGTAGAAGCGAGCAATGTGTGTAAATGCTACGTCGAATGTGCAGGAAATAGTCAAGTTGACCCCAGCCACAGGGACCCGCCTGCTGGTGGCGATTACTGCAGCAGCATCTGAAACACACATCTCCATCCATTAACAATGTATCAGGGGTTGCATGAGCGTGGGGCATTGTTTTGTATTCCAGGTGTTTATTTTTATGATATCATTACAAGTGACATTTGTGAAAACATTTTACTTCAACGTTTCAATAATGGTCAAATTGCCATTTCCCTTCCTCTGGATTTACCCATCTGAACTAGAACTAAAAGAGGCCTGTGAAACAGCCCCATCTGTTTCATATATAGATCTGTGCATACAGATTCTGACTGACAAAATGCTATCCGCCAGATAGAATTACTTTCCTTTTATGTCGGCCAATATTCCAGCAGTTCCAGCCTTTGGTGTCAACATAACACAACTTGTGAGGTAAATTCGAGCATGGTCTTCCTACGAAGATTTCAAAGAGAGTCATACGACTTCCGCTCAAAAGTTATTTGATCAGCGTTGCAATTTCCAAGGCCTCGGTAAAGCTTTCAATATGTTTTACAGTACACATTTGGAGAACATTTCCAAATCAGTGACAATAATTATACCCGATGCACTTCCCTAATTTGACTTGTGTTTGTGATCGGCGCCACCAATGGGGTGGGATAGGCTTACCTACCGCCAACACCTGGTGGCACTACTATTTGATAGTCATTTATTAAATACATGCTAACGATATAACTTAAACGCATGCTTACGTTCGTACCTAATTATCTCAGAGTCTGTTTTTGGCAGAGATTGCTAATGATTATCTTTGGTCTTTGTTACTTTTACTCAAGATGGCGACTATTGTTTCATTCCAATTATGAATTTTGTGAAAAGAAGTGACATTTACAACAACAAGTTCTGTTAAAGAAATGGAACATATCTCTGAGATTGGTGTAATCTAACTATGATTGTAGCAGGACATCTTGAAATCCTGCAATCTGGTTGGTATGCCAGCAGTAACAGCTGCACAAGGTATTATAGGTGAGGTGAAATTGGGTTTAACGTCGCGTCTAGGTTATTGCACGTATATAGTGGCGTGCATGCACGTGTGGGTGCGTGCGTGCGTGCGTGCGTGCGTGCGTACTAGTCCGGACTGATGCCGATTTATAGTGCTAGCTCACTGAGATACCATGCCGCAGTTTAACATGAATACCCCACTCAGACACAGTATACTGACACCGAGCCGACCAGTCCTTGTTTTAGCACCTTAATGCCGAGCCCCAGACAGGGTAACAACAAGTACCATCTTTAAACATCTTTTGGTGTGACGCGGCCGGGGATCAAACCCCGGACTTTCCGCTCTCCGGGCGGACGCTCTACCACTAGACCACGGAGGCGGTCCACTAGATATTATAACCGCATCCCCGTGGAGATAAGTATTTCTATGATAGCACTGCATCGTCTAACCCGACTTGTAGCTACATTGTAGTGGTGTATGTACTTAACAACTAAACATTAGAAGGGTCGCTACATTTTCTCCAGAGAGGACCGTTTGAATAACTCATGGTACCTGAACAAGATGCTTTTTTTATCTCTCACTAAAGATATTTAAGTATCACGGTATCAAGATATAGTAAATCATAATTATTGGATATGAAAGTGTACGGTTAAGCGTATGTGGATTAAAACGGGTCGCCACTATCTAAGCCTGTTAGTTGTAGCAGTAGCAGTAGCAGTAGCAGTAGTAGTGGTAGCAGTAACAGCAGTGGTAGTAGTGGTAACAGTAGCGGCAGTAGTTGACACACTGATGTTGGGCCAATGTTGGGTGTATGTTGGCATGCCACTGTGTGCATGGGGATATTAGGCCAACAATGGATATGAACTTCTATAATCTTAAAATTTACATTTTATTTAACAATACTTTGAAAAATTACAAACTTAGTTTTTCATTAATAACATCAACACTCTTTACTTTACTCTTTTGTGCAACCAAAATACATTTGACATATATTTTCAACTATTTTATAGCTCTGCATATTCACTGCGACCCTGTAGGCGACAAACTTTGCTCGTGATTGGTAGGCTCCTGTTAGTGGTTGTATGAATTATTTCTGAGGACATTAGCTGGATATTTTCTGATTTCTTGCTTCAGAGAAAGGTTTTGTTAAAATGAAATAAAGTCAACAACAAACCAACAAAGAATGGCATCAACCAGTGTGCCACGACAATATACTCGGCACAACCTAAATCCCACCCTGAAACGGGCCGATATCTTCTACCCACATTGGACCAACGTTAGCTTGGGAGGAACGTATCGTCTCCGTCGCTATACGGCTGTCATATTGCCGATGCGACAAAAAATACTCACTCACTCACTCACTCACTCACTCACTCACTCACTCACTCACTCACTCACTCACTCACTCACTCACTCACTCACTCACTCACTCACTCACTCACTCACTCACCCACTCACTCACTCACTCACTCACTCACTCAAACCTAAAGGTCACAATGATATCTAATGTACAACATAACATGTATTGTTTACACCCAGGCAAAGGTTCTGAATGCTTCTTCAGGTAATGACCCGTGAGGATCCAGGTTAGAATAGGTCTTCAGCTACCATTACATGTCCTATGAGGCTACTATGCTTGTCGTAAGAGGCCACTAATGGGATCGAATGGTCAGGCTCGCTGACTTGGCTGATGCACGTCATCGTATCCCAATTGCGAGCATCGATGCTCATGATGTCAATCATTGGATTGTTTGGTCCAGACTCGATTATTATCAGACCGCAATCATTTAGCTGGACTATTGCTGAGTGCCGCGTTAAACAACAATATTCAAGTAGTTGTGCTGTATATTTTAATGGAACATCTCATGTAAATGCGTTGTCTTCGTCTATATGTGTTGTGTTATACTGCATGCCTATCAATTTGCTGAAATATCATTTCTTTAACTTATCTGCCTCATTCGAAGCATGAGTGAACCGGTCGTGTAATTCTCTTTGCAGAGTTGCGTCCCTTAGACATGCCAGCTTGATTATGTTTCCAGGTTTGTCAGCACTTTATCCGTGCTCACCTAAGTGGTCAACATGTAAGTCCTGCATCACTTCAGGCTTTCCTCTGACCTGAAACTGACGCGCCGTGACATAACTGAAAATAGTGCGATGCTACACACCTCGGCCATTCGCTGCATTACTACCCAACAACAACCTACAGTCCTCCCACTTGAAATAGAATCACGAAATAGCGCGATGATTATTTAACGAAGACAACAGCATGTGTTCTAAACAAGCCGTTCCGCTTATCGCCGTATAAGTATTAGCGCACACACACAACTGTCTTGGCTAATTATCGTCGCGATACTTCGTGATTCTGTTTAAAGTGGCGGGGACTATAACAGTGTAAGATGGTATCCGCCCAGTGATCAGTAACGCTGATGGTGTTAGAGCATTGCTCATGGATTCATCTACATGGTATCTTGAGACTGCATGTTGAAACCACTTACCAGTTATAGAGGTAAAACCAGTTAGCCAGATCATGCAGAGGACTAGCCCCGGAACGCCCATGGTGACATAGGAAGTGTCACTGCATTGGGACCTTGAATAAGCATATGCACCTATACACTGACAAAGCCTTTTCGCGTTTAAATTCCGGGTTACTGAACCGCTTCTTTGTGTTGCTTTTGTGAGTGGATTGAATATCACAAACTAGGTCATATCACACAGTATCACATAGTCATATCACATATCACATGACAGATTAACCATAGAAATATGACTACCGCTACCTACCACTTACCCACCACAACCGTCTACCTCAACCTCGCACTCACCCACCACAACCGTCTTCCATCACCTTGCACTCACAACCGTCTTCCACTACCTCGCATTCACCCATCACAACCGTCTTCCACTACCACGCACTCACTCACCCATCACAACCGTCTACCACTACCTCGCACTCACCCATCACAACCTTCTACCACTCCCTCGCACTCACAACCGTCTATCACTTTCTCGCACTCACAACCGTCTACCACTACCTCGCACTCACAACCGTCTACCACTACCTCGCACTCACCCATCACAACCTCCTACCACTCCCTCGCACTCACAACCGTCTACCACTACCTAGCACTCATAACCATAACCGTCTACCACTACCTCGCACTCACAACCGTCTATCACTTTCTCGCACTCACAACCGTCTACCACTACCTAGCACTCATAACCATAACCGTCTAGCACTACCTCGCACTCACCCACCACAACTGTCTACGACTACCTCGCACTCACCCACCACTACCGTCTACCACTAACTCGCACTCACCCACCACAATCGTCTACCACTACCTCGCACTCACAACCGTCTACCACTACCTCGCACTCACAACCGTCTACCACTACCTCGCACTCACCCATCACAACCTTCTACCACTACCTCGCACTCACAATCGTCTACCACTACCTCGCACTCACAACCGTCTACCACTACCTCGCACTCACCCATCACAACCTTCTACCACTACCTCGCACTCACCCACCACTACCGTCTACCACTACATCGCACTCACCCACCACAATCGTCTACCACTACCTAGCACTCACCCATCAGAACCGTCTTCCACCACCTCGCAATCACAACCGTCTACCACTACCTCGCACTCACAACTGTTTACCTCTACCTCGCACTCACCCACCACTACCGTCTACCACTACCTCGCACTCACCCACCACTACCGTCTACCACTACCTCACACTCACCCACCACTCCCGTCTACCACTACCTCGCACTCACAACCGTCTACCACTACCTCGCACTCACCAACCACTACCGTCTACCACTACCTCGCACTCACCCATCACAACCGTCTACCACTACCTCACACTCACCCATCACAACCGTCTTCCACCACCTCGCACTCACAACCGTCTACCACTACCTCGCACTCACAACCGTCAACCACTACCTCGCACTCACCCACCACAACCGTCTACCACTACCTCGCACTCACCCACCACAACCGTCTACCACTACCTCGCACTCACAACCGTCTACCACTACCTAGCACTCATAACCATAACCGTCTACCACTACCTCGCACTCACAACCGTCTATCACTTTCTCGCACTCACAACCGTCTACCACTACCTAGCACTCATAACCATAACCGTCTAGCACTACCTCGCACTCACCCACCACAACTGTCTACGACTACCTCGCACTCACCCACCACTACCGTCTACCACTACCTCGCACTCACCCACCACAATCGTCTACCACTACCTAGCACTCACCCATCAGAACCGTCTTCCACCACCTCGCAATCACAACCGTCTACCACTACCTCGCACTCACAACTGTTTACCACTACCTCGCACTCACCCACCACAACCGTATTCCACTACCTCGCACTCACCCACCACTACCGTCTACCACTACCTCGCACTCACAACTGTTTACCACTACCTCGCACTCACCCACCACAACCGTATTCCACTACCTCGCACTCACCCACCACTACCGTCAACCACTACCTCGCACTCACCCATCACTACCGTCTACCACTACCTCGCACTCACCCACCACTACCGTCTACCACTACCTCGCATTCACAACCGTCTACCACTACCTCGCACTCACAACCGTCTACCACTACCTAGCACTCACTCACAAAAACCGTCTATCACTATCTCGCACTCACAACAACCGTCTACCACTACCTCGCACTCACTCACAAAAACCGTCTATCACTACCTAGCACTCACTCACAAAAACCGTCTATCACTATCTCGCACTCACAACAACCGTCTACCACTACCTAGCACTCACTCACAAAAACCGTCTATCACTATCTCGCACTCACAACAACCGTCTACCACTACCTCGCACTCACAACCGTCTACCACTACCTAGCACTCACTCACAACAACCGTCTATCACTATCTCGCACTCACAACAACCGTCTACCACTATCTCGTAGTCACTCACAACAACCGTCTGTCACTATCTCGCACTCACAACAACCGTCCATCACTATCTCGTAGTCACTCACAACAACCGTCTATCACTACCTCGCACTCACAACAACCGTCTGTCACTATCTCGCACTCACAACAACCGTCTATCACTATCTCGTAGTCACTCACAACAACCGTCTATCACTATCTCGTAGTCACTCACAACAACCGTCTGTCACTATCTCGCACTCACAACAACCGTCTATCACTATCTCGTAGTCACTCACAACAACCGTCTATCACTATCTCGCACTCACAACAACCGTCTATCACTATTGATAACCCGCCTTACAGATCCTGTATGCGAAGTTTGATCATGTATACATACTTATGTCATCCAGACTGGTCTGGTCCAGACTCGGCAATTAAGAGACCGGCGTCAAATAGTTGGAAAATAGCTGAGTGTCGTTGTACAACAAATAAACAAATACTTTACAGCTAAAACATTGCCTAAGTTTTAACTCAGTAAACAGTAAAGCCAATTATGTAAAATCAAGTTTAATATGGATCACCACTTGAGTGGTCAGTAAGGTCACCACAGACCAGTGAGATGACGTCAGTAAGACCATCACACACTAGTGAGATGACGTCAGTAAGGTCACCACAGACCAGTGAGATGACGTCAGTAAGACCATCACACACCAGTGAGATGACGTCAGTAAGATCATCACACAATAGTGAGATGACGTCAGTAAGGTCACCACAGACTAGTGAGATGACGTCAGTAAGACCATCACACACCAGTGAGATGACGTCAGTAAGGTCACCACAGACCAGTGAGATGACGTCAGTAAGACCATCACACAATAGTGAGATGACGTCAGTAAGGTCACCACAGACCAATTAAACGACCATGGTCAAAAACAACTGCTCCGTTAGAATAAATTATCGTCCTCATGGTTTGGTAAACTGTCAGTTATACTTGAAGTCATGGCGATGCATACTATACAAATGATCCCCAAAATATGATTATTTACTGGAAATTCCAGTTCAGTGCACAGTGTGAGAGCATTGTCTCTGTTCGTGATCAGTCTGGTATTAGTCCTCTCCATCCACTCTCCTCACTCGCCCGTACACAGCTCAAGACATTTCGGTGGATGCGTCAATACGCTGGAACCCTTTCCAGATGTCACGCGTTTCCGCGTGATGTTGCTGCCTTATTTAGTATCACCGTCCATACTCCACGGGTTTCAGAAGACAACTTCCTCCATCACCACAAAATACATTCCGCTGCTTAGTGGTGAAACTATTGTTCATTCGTGACCAATTCGTGTTATTCCGGGACAAGTCGAATAGCAGCTCGTGTCACTCTCATGGCAATGTTTGCGACTGAGTTCCGTCTGTGCGCAAACGGGCATAGTTAAAAGAATTGTCAACTCGTTGCGTAATGATTCACGAATATTTGACCTATGTCATCACTCTCCTACCAAGAGTTCCATGCGACCAGCATAGTACCTCTGCCACAGGCCAGCGCCATGTGACGATTCGTCACATCTAACACAGTCCATTCAAAATATTGCATATGTTTTTCATCTGTTTCAATTTGACAAGTTTCCATATGTAGATAAACATATGTCATAGAATGGTATCACTGATAAAATATCCTAAATCGTGAAAAACTATTTCCATTTGCGTAGTTATCCTATGTTTACAATGGTTGTACGGCTCCACGTGCTGTCATCGAAGGCCTACGGAGAACTAGCGATATGGTCACTTTGAAGTGTAAATATATATTGCCATGCAACTCACTGTCGCAGTTGTAGTAGCATATCTATATAATTATGCAAAAATGGAATGCGCCTCCAAATACTTGCATTGGGACGATCTATTCTGATTTCTGAAAAAGCGCGTTTGTTTACAAACAAGAGGAAAGTCCGGTCACGTGACATGCAAATCAGCCTGTGGCAGCGGTGTTAAACAATCAAGAGAAAAGTCCGATCACGTGATATGCAAATTAGCCTGTCTTAGTGGCGTTACGCTTTGTCACAGTGTGCTATGTCATATACATTCCCGATGCTATTTAAAACATATCGGGACTTACGGTATTGTACAGTATGATTGAACATGTTTAACTGTATCTAGGGTATAGTTTTAGATGCAAGACATGTGTAAAGTAGAAAATTATTCGTGAGGAATTGTTTGACCAAAGTACTTAGGGTCATACGCGCATTCTGATTGGTTTGTCGTATTTTCGCACATAAAATTCATTGATAGGGGGACGAGTCTTCTTGTAGTTTACGGAAAGGGGCGAGTGGCGACGAATGGCTATTGTAACAAACGAATCAAGCAACGGCCTGGTTCAAGCGAGATCAGGGAGTGCCCAGACGCTTGACATTTCCTTGTGGTATTTGCTACACCTCGCTGCAACCTCTCCCCACACCGATATTGCTGGAATTTTGCGGCGTAAAACCACACTCACTCAGTTTGATGTAATGTCTGGTAATTGTAGGGTTCACACAACGACTCATTTGACTCCCGCGAGTTACACGCGGCCTTATTTCATTATTTGACTTAAAATAGACACACGTCACCACTAACCAGCATGCCGGACGTGTGTATTCACGGGTGGTGGAGGAACACAGTGAACGCGAACCCGTGAAGTAATAACGACGATTTGGTATCGTTTGGTCACGTGTCCTATATCTCAAGGGAGATAACTCCGCATGTCTTTACACATACGGCATAACCACTTCGTTCTGTCTGGGAAGCATAGAGAACCATGCAGGGTAGGGCTGATTGGTCATCCGCCGGTCATGTGACACTTGTCTATCGACGCTTCGTATGGTTGTCATGGTAACTGGAGGAGGGTATGATCTCCAGGATTCTCGCGAGAAGTCATCATACGCAATGTTCCTGTTGTCGTAGAGCGCTGTCGTTACCGTCCCTGGTGATGGGGATCTGAAATAACTGTTTGAAACACATTTGTTATTGATTATGTTTATTGACAAGATATACACGTGGAAAAAGTTAATCACCGCTTACTCTTCGTTTCATAATAAAATATCGACTTGGGAAATTGTATCCTGTATTGATTTTCGGAAGAAACACATTTTATTTTGTTCAGAGCGTGACATATTCACATTGAAAAAAAGACGAAATCAGTTATGTCATTGCATGGTTTGTAACTTTCAATGGCAATAGTTATTTGATACAGATTTCGGCAGCTTCCTCTTTGCATCTTATGACATGACACCCAAGGGGATTCCGGGTTCGAATTGGTCCCTAGAAACCTTGCCGAGGACGATTAAATGGATCGGGTGATCAGGCTGGGTGATTTGGTTCATTGCGTGTCATCGTACCCCGACGGCGAAGACTGATGTTCATGAGATCAAGCACTGTATTGTTTTGTCCAAAAATATTCATGATCCCCAACTTTTTTCCAGTATATATCGGGTGGTCAGGCTCGGTGACTTGGCTAATTTTGGGATCTATAGTCCCACCTGGAATCCCACGGATGACAATTTTGGTGAAACCCACTGATACTGGTATGATATTGACAAACACCGAAACATGATCAGGTCGAATATCGGATTCTGGCACTACCAAGGGAGGCAACTCTGCATAGCAAATTGCGGCGACTTAGATAACTAGGTGGTTGTGACAGGACATATGATATCATAACCCCACAGCACAAGATTGAATACTTTTTAACAGCAATCTCTGAAACAATTATACCTTTACGTGAATGCATATGTTACCTTTTTTCGGGATATGTTTGTTTCCGATCGCCTTGTCTCCAGTAGTAGGCCGCACAACACATCAGAAAAGCCAGAAACAAACACACCAGCGCCGCAAGCCCCGCCCCTACCATGAGTGGGAGGAGAGTCAGGTCGCCTGTTGTCACAGATCTCGTAGTCGTGATTGGTGGCGACGCTGAAAATAGTTTCAGAATTATTTTTTGAGTAGTGTTCACCTACATCGATGCAAAATGTCTCACAGCCTGTGTACCCGCCGCAATACCTTCCACGCTTTTTTTGTTTGTTTGTTGCTTCAGGTCGCATTCTACAATATTCCAGCTATATGACTGCGATCTGTCCCTAATCGTCTCTGGACCACACAATCCAGTGATTGACATCATGAGCATCGATCTAAGCAATGGGGATACGATTACATGCATCAATCAAGTAAGCGAGCCTGCCCACCCGCTTCTTACGACAAGCAAAGTCACCTTTTACGGCAAGCATGGGCTGCTGAAGACCTATTCCAACCCGGATGTTCACAGGAAACGTTCCACGTAATTACTCACTCACAGTGAGGCACGTTTTGTTACATCCTCGATTATCCAGGCCTTTATTTCTTCATTCTTTTATGATAAATACTCTGTACCCATTCGCCACAACAGATTCGTTTAGGATGTTAGGTCAGCAGGGTCAGGGAGGGATTGAAAGCTATCTTCAAAGACGGTCGTATTCCGAGACAAATTCGAGTCGTCAAAGGCAAAGGGTTTGCTGGAGAGTTTAGATATTATGTGACCAGATAAAATATATAATTGATTGTGACTCAAAACGAAGATGTAAGCCTACTTTTTCGGAGAGAGTACTAACTATTCCCTGTCCCTCATCCAAGCGACTCTCGTATAATGTTGGTGAACTGTTTTTTGGGGTGTTTTTTTTTTTTGTTTAACGCCGCACTTAGCAATATTCCAGCTATATGACGGCGGCCTGTAAATGATCGAGTCTGGACCAGACAACCCAGTGATTGATATCATGAGCATCGATCCACGCAATTGGGATTCGATGATATGTATCAACCGCCTTTTACGGCAAGAATGGGTTGCTGAAGACCTATTCCACCCCGGATCTTCACGGGTATGTTGGTGAACTGCATCGACAGAGTTACTCGCTCCTTTGTCCGCATCCTTCCCATGGTGACCTTAACCCGACTGAATTCATCTGGCGAGTGAGTGAGTTTGGTTTAACGGCACTTTGAACCGTTTTCCAGTTACATCGCGGCGTGTAAGCTTCGATGCAGGTCTCAGACGTTTACCACTTAGGTGAAACCCACAAATATGGGTACGGTGCTGACAAACAAACTAGAAACATAATCGGAGCGAACAGGGATTTGAACCCCTAATCATAGGTTTCTGGCGTGCCCAAGGGAAACGACTCTGCAGAGCGAATTGCAGCCTGGTTCCCTGGGTGTGCTGCGCTTGGAACCAGGATGAACGAATTGCGGCGCCTCAGACGACTGGGTCACCAGTGGCCCCCGGCCAATTTAAGAAACTGGGTTGGTTGTAAAAGAATACAAGGTGACAACTGTTGAGGCTGATTGTGAAATGTGAAAACAGATTTGGCGAGAAAGAATTATCATAGTGTGGGCGTTATGTACAGGGCATCGAGGAGAACTGGAAACGTGAAATGTCGCTTGTAGCCCAAATGTGAAAGATTGTCATCAGTGTGGAGTTTGACACCGGCGACAGCGACGAATGTGAGGGATGAACTACGAATACATCTGTGTTTCAGTCATACCCACACTGTCGTGTTTCTAAGTGGGTCATGATAACGTCACTGTTTCTGTATATTAATTCATACAATAGTTCCACCGCGATGGTCGTCAATATTGCCGAGGCCTCGTCAAACTCACATTCACTCACTCACCATACAAAAGTAACATGAACAGTAATACTACACATCTGCGGATTACAAAAATGATTTTCTTGACTTTCTTCATCCGTTCATAATCCGTTTACTCAACAAAACTAAAGCTGTAAGTATCCATTATTCGATCTAAACTGAAGGTCCGCAGCGAGCGAACACACCGCCAAATTTAATTGGCCCCCGAAAAGACTTTCCACCCAGAAGTTGATATCGTCTGCGCGGAACTAACGTTCAACTGTCAGGTCCCGAGTTTTCTAAAACATTGTAAACAACTTTATTGTCAAAGGGGTTCAACCGCCTGCTGAAAACTATACCCGTGGATCTTCACAACCTGTGCAGTCGATTACTACAGCACGGGTGGAAGGGTTGCTCGTGCAATACACTGCATTATCGAGTCGACGTGGTGCTTTGACGAATGCACGTAGAGCACGAATTCTACGTGCACCGCGTCACTCGACACCCTGGCCAATGGAACTGGACTTTCACGTTGCACGCGGATCGCCACCATCTATAATGTACATCATCAGGTGTAGCAGTGTCACTCGATGTATATAATAAGTTATCATAACCCCGTGTCAGAGTGATGAGAGCTGATTGATCAACGTGATCTTGATCAAATACTGTGTAAAATACTGTCTAACCCGCTTTTCCGAGCCAATGGATGTCACGTGACATAGCGCAAGCTAACCTCTGTTCAGTTGAGCAGATGTTTTCTATCAATCTAGAATGTATTTGAATTGGTTTACAATGTCATATTAAAACATATTGGTAAGGTAAATTCGTTGTAGCAGGATCACTCGGGGGGTACATGGGGTATTATAACCACACACACCCCCCCCCCCCCCCCCCCCCCCCCCACCCCACACACACAGAGAAGACCCGAAGATCACGTGAACAAATAATATTTCAACATCTGAAATGACGGTAAGATAATTGTAACTATGGACGTCACGCATACCCATTTTATTTATCTCCGCCTGCTGGCTGATAGCGCTCCACTTGCTGCGTGAAACAACATTGGAGCCAGTTTAGTTACCATTTGGACTCTAAACGAAGGCAAACAGGCCATCAGTATATAGTTCAATGACAAAGTGATGACAAATCGTATTTGAATGGGTCTCCTTACTTACGCGTATTTCTCAATGTCGGTACACATCTTGGCAACGGTTTGTCCCAGGAGCCGTTGCTAAGACACGTGATCACATTGTCGCCAATCACAGTGTAGCTGGAAGCCACGAAGCAGGTCACGGTTACCCGAGTACCGGGGTCACGTTGGTACGTACTGACAATAATGTCGTCCACATTGTTTGCCGTGATGATGATTGGCGGGGGAGGTTTGGCCAGCTCCGGACACAACATCTGACCTGCAAAACACATACAACATACACATGTAAGATATCAACATCCAGGTAGACATAGTATATGTGATGGAGAGGAACTAATGGTGACGAATATAACATATCAGAGCGTTATTTTGTTCACGTCGTTAAAGGTTAAGATCTTCCCCTCGCCGATCCACGGTCAGGAAAAGAAGACGAAAACTTCTTCAAAACATGTCTGCAAAAGATCAAATGCTCCCTCGACTCGCGATAAGTCCCAAGAAATGGGGAAGTGAGTGTTTATTTGTTGTTTAACGCCGCACTCAGCAATATTCCAACTAAATGACAGCGGTCTGTAAATAATCTGGAGTCTGGACCAGACAATCCAGTGATTGACATCACGAGCCTCGATCCAAGCAATGGTGAGTTAGTTATGTTGAGGGGAAGATTTTTAAAAATTATGACCAGTTGCCCGGTGGTCAAATGCGGTGCAATTCAATATGCAACGTTGTGTCCCTTAGTTGATACGCTGGTTTGTTGTTCGAATCCCAGATTCGCTCTGATTATGACTTTTAGTTCCTCGGCACCACACCCGTGCTCGTTAGTTTCACCAATGTTGTAAACGACCAAGACCTGCGTCACTTCGGGCTTTCTCTCAGACTAAGCCGTCAGGATATAACCCCATCACATGTTCTCACTAAATGAAACAATGCGCTCAGGCAAAGACGACGTATTGACGACACAGAGCTCCATTGTGTGTTTCAAACCCTTGCTTTAGTGGTTTTGCGGCCGTCGGCACAACAGCAACACGTTATATATACATGCACACTATGGGTGATATTTCTATAACAATAAAACAGGTAAGGAACCATTCTGAATTAACTAAAAAAAAGGTCTACATTCTGAATTAACTAAAAAAAAAAAGGTCTATTGTTCGCGATGCGTTTTCCATCTCTTCATGAGTAATACACGCACACAGATACTCTTTGTCGGTGTAGGTAAATTCAATCACCCAAAGGTATCATAAATCGTGACACAGCAGTATTTTAGCTTCTCGATATGTATTCATATCGATCTGCATTTGTCCAAACTTCATTAGCTGCACTTTTTAAGTTAGACATCTCATGAAACGTACAGTAAGTGCGATGTCACGTGATACTCCGTTACGATACCCCCCTGTGTGAACGCCTGACACGCTCTCCATGAAGAGGAGGTTTGGGTGGTGTGGTAGACTAATGCTTAAAGCGTTCGCCCGTCACAGCCAAAGGCCCGGGTTCGATTTTCCACTTAGGTACAATGTGTGAAGCCGATTTCTGGCGTCCCCCGCCGTGATATTGATGGACTGTTGCTGAAAGCGGCGTAAAACTATACTCACTCCCTAGGAGGTCGCGTCAGGTGAACCCTGGAACTTTGGCCACCAATCTAAATGAAAGATGTTTTGTTTGTTTGTTTGTGTGTTTAACGCCGCACTATTCCAGCTATGTGACGGAGGCCTGGACCAGATTGATTGATCTAATGAGCATCGAGCAACGCAATTGGGATCGATGACATGCATCAACCGAGTCAGTGAGCCTTAACACCCGATCCCGTTAGTCACCTCTTACGACAAGAATAAAATGAAACAATGGTAGCTTTCTAGAATCATTCCTTAAGGGCTTCGATTCGAAAAAGGTTGATCTTGACAAAACACAAACCACACAGAAATCAAATATACCTTTCATAGTACACCGTTTTAGGTGTAGTTGTCATGGCGCTCAGAACCGACAGTGTGTATAAATAAATATAATAATAATAAAACACCATAACAGCACCCTCTTTATAATTTATATTCGGAACTGACCGTTTATGTTCTTTTAGCCACCGATGTCTCTTTTCCGGGGGTTTTTTACCAGCCGATGCCTTTTTTCTGTACGGATACTGGTGGGCCAATCCTAGCTTGGAACCCACCAGGGGATAAACTCTTTCAGACCAGGTGAGTTAATATTATACCTTCATTAAGCACTACTTTCCAATGAATCAGATTCGGAAGATTATTTAAATCAGATTGTTACTTGACCTAAGGTCAATACATTGTTGGGGCTACGCCGGTATAGGAATAGCAACAGCTGGCTGTTGCTACACACTAACATCTGTCACCTGAGCTGTGAATTTATGTCGTCTATTTGATACACACATACGTCTGAGAAGACTGACAGGTCACATACTAGGTCACAGGTCAATGACTATGTCACAGGTCACAGACAAGGTCACACTTAAAAACTGGTCTTTACTTCTGATCAAAGGTTTTTCAGCACCATGCCCATGCTCGTGGGTTTCACTAAAGTGGTAAATATCTAAGTCCTGCATTACATTTAAGCTGACACGCCGTGATGTAATAAATGTCATATAGTGTTCACTCACTCACTCACTCACTCGCCAACATACGTTTCTTATTGGCGCCAGACAGCCCCCGACAGGGATACAGTGAAAACATCGCGTGTCATACTGTACTGAGTCTGTACCCTCTCACCTGCAGGGCTCCCAGGCTAGAAGAGGTCCCCAGCAACCTATGGCGGTTGTAAGAGGCGACTCCATTGATTTGAGTGGCCAGGCTCGGTAATCTGGTTAGTTGCCTGTGATCGTAGCCCCACGGCGGGGATTGTTGCTTACAATATCGATCACTGGACTGTCTTATCGAGATTTGATTATTTACAGACCGTCGTCACACAGCTGGACTATTGCTAAGTGGGGATATAAACAACACACAAACCAAACTACTCAACGATTGAGTTGGGTTAAATGTTGCTTTAAACAGTATTTCAGTCATATCACTTCTTATCAGATTAGTGTGGTCATGGAGCTGACAAAACAAAGGAAATAATCAGGGCATATCTAGGTTCTGAATCGGCGGATCATGGCACGGGTAAGGGAGGAAACTCTACAAGTATCAAACACGGAATAAGTCTGGGAGACGAACCAACGACCAACGACTATTCTCTACGTACAGTGATGTAGCGTCCACAGGAAAATGACGAGTGGTCAACACGAGCGCCTGACAGTTCACTCCGTATTGTGTTGTTCAGGTCGCAGTCGGTGTCCAAGCTGTGTACAACGTCAGCAACGTCTGGGCACAGTTGCAACTTCGCACTTCGGAATACTTGCGTTACGTACTAACTTACAAACGTGTATAGGTCCACCTTACGTGGGAACACTTGCGTCACGTGCGGTCTCACAAACGTGGTATATGTCCACCTCACGTTGGAACACTTGCGTCACGTGCGGTCTCACAAACGTGGTATATGTCCACCTCACGTTGGAACACTTGCGTCACGTGCGGTCTCACAAACGTGGTATATGTCCACCTCAAGTTGGAACACTTGCGTCACGTGCGGTCTCACAAACGTGGTATATGTCCACCCCACGTGGGAACACTTGCGTCACGTACTGTCTCACAAACGTGGTATATGTCCACCTCAAGTTGGAACACTTGCGTCACGTGCGGTCTCACAAAAGTGGTATATGTCCACCTCAAGTTGGAACACTTGCGTCACGTGCGGTCTCACAAACGTGGTATATGTCCACCTCAAGTTGGAACACTTGCGTCACGTGCGGTCTCACAAACGTCTCATATGTCTTCCTCGCGTGGGAACCGGCGTTTTGTAAAGCCACCGATTGTCTCACCCACGTTGTATATGTTTGCCTCCCGCTAGAAAGTCACTGAAATTAATTTATCGTATCAGAAGGGTGTCTGTCAGAGGGCAACATAAGAAGATCGCATTCAGCTACAAATCTGTCTTGTCGGAGACACATGTCATCACATACGAACTCACATCTACACGACAATACAGTGTAGGGCATCCGTGCGTGTCCCGGTGACGAAAAAGACCATTAATCCTTGTTGCGTTAAATTAAGCTTCACCTCAACCTAAAAACGTGGGAGTGCGTTATTGAATCAGGTCGTTACATACAAGGCTCCTCAAATCTCCAAATACCTTCTAGGTGGCCATCACATCTAAATCCTCTAATTCGCTGTGCACAGTGGCATCCCTTGGGCCCATCTGAAACCTTTGATCAATGGTTCGAATCCCGGTTCTAACGTCTAAAACCTGCTTCGACTACTTTCTTCCCGCATCAAGTTGGCACGGTCTGATATAACTGGAATACTGTTCGTTAAACGGTTAAATACTGTCGTGAAACTCACTCACCCACTGTCCCAATAGACCCGTTAAGACCCGGGTTAGAATTATTCTTCAGCAACCATGCTTGCCATAAAAGGCGACTAACGGCATCGGGTGGTCACGATTGTTGACATGGCTAATGCAAGTCATCGTATCCCAATTGTGCGGATCGAGGCTCATGATGCCAATCACTGGATTGTTGGTTCCAGAGCCGATTATTTACAGACCGTCGTCATATAGCTTGAATATTGCTGAGTGTGGCGTTCAATAACAAACAAACACACAAACTGTCCCAATACCTTGTGATCCAATTCATGAGACAGTATCGTTCTTCAACACAGGGTTTCAATCACTCTTTTTAGGACTAAGCTGGACGTCAAGCCAGTTTCGACCTTCTTCCATGGACTGGACTTACTAGGCGACCAGGTTAAACGGTATTTTCGCATAAAAAAAAAACACATGAGCAGTAATAATCAGGGACAATGACCTGGTTGTCTCCCTTGAATCATACATCAATCACACGTGACGTCCTCGCCTCACCTGACGTCAAACTGACGTGTGTCTTCACACAACGAATAACATGACATGTAAATCTCAACAGTAGCGAAAATATATGCATTGAACAAATATAATCAGGGACCATGAATATTTTGTGAATTATTTTTTAGCAGCGAAGACTGAGTACACAATTTCATAAATATATATATATCCCAAAACATATTCGTGATCCCTAACTGTTTTGTTCACTATATAAAGGCACATTTCACTTCCGTGTGGATGGTGGCGCATAAGCTAAGTCAAAAGCAGTCGCTATATGGCTAAAATAATGCCGATGCGAAGTTAAATTTTATATTATATATTTTAACTCACTTACCCAAAAGCAAGGTATTTATCATGTTACTGTTTTGAGCTTTTCTTGATTTAGCTATGGGCTCGCACTGCAAAGAGCAACTGTTGGCTGAAGTGGTGTAAATCCAGAGGTACTGTGATCGTCACAAAGGTGGTCTCGCTTTAGTTACTAGTAATCTATAGTCTGAATTTTAAGTGTAATAACTCAAGGTGTTTATATCAAACATCTTTTAACTTTGTATTTCTTTGATTTATATTCAGTATGTGCTATTTATCAAACTCTTTTACTGTCCTTTGTCGGCAAGTATTTAATATTTAATAATATGTTCAGTCGCTAAGTGGCTGTAGTATTGCTGTAAAATTGTAAAATTTGAACTCACTCACTTACTCTGCAAAGGTGGATTCCACCGCTGGTACAACACCCGGCTCACCTCCGTCCAATAGGTCACCTCGGCCAGCACTTGGGGGAATCCATATTAGAACTGGGTTCACTGGTTTCACTCGTTCACGTGACTATCACATTGCACAACAAAGACGGATTTTCTCAAAATCAGTCGTAGTTGTACAAACAGGATCGGTCTGTATTCGATTTGCAGAAAATTCGTGCCATATAATAACTACTCCATTACTTCACGTAGAACGACAATGGTAACGGAATACGCCAACTGGAGAGCAATGCTTTGTTCAAAGCTACAGAGACCCTATTAATCCACTTTCAGCAACAAGTTACAAATCTTCGAACTGCCTGGAGCCACTGTCGAACAGACCTCTATTCAAATATTCTTGACAATTCCTGGTTCAGTTATCCAGAGAACATCATTATCTGCGGTCCTCGCCGGGCAATGAAGCAGACATATGCTCCACAATGTCTACACAAACACCATGAGATCGCAATGACACTAGATCACAACAACGACTCTCCCTTTGAAGTGTTTACAAGCCTTATACATCACAGCAAGGTGTGTTCCTTCCTGTGCGAGGGAACCTGGCGATGGTGCGACCGTGATACACACGACACAATGACTAGGCTACCGATGTAGAGGTGACTCACAGCTGTCTAAACCTATTGTGTTTTGCTGGGCGGGCTTTATATAATAATCGATTGCCTTCTTTACAGTGGTAGCTGTGATAGATGTAAAATCGAATAATATGTTAGATTTTCAACAGCTGGGGGTTTGTATTGACAGTCTGTAGTGGTAGACTCATAGCAGGTCGTTTGTTTGGGTGTGTTGGATATTTAGAGCGTGCAGTTGTCCAGTCTTTAATTTGTAGTTTCGTTTGTTGTTGTTTTACGCCGTAGTATTCAGTATTTCTGCTATATCACAGCAGATGCCCTGTAATTGTTAAGACAAACCAGTGATTGATGTTATGAGAAACGACCCATGCAGGTACCCTGTAATTGTTCAGACAAACCAGTGATTGATGCTATGAGAGACAACCCACGCAGGTACCCTGTAATTGTTCAGACAAACCAGTGATTGGTGTTATGAGAAATGACCCATGCAGGTACCCTGTAATTGTTCAGACAAACCAGTGATTGATGTTATGAGAAACGACCCATGCAGGTACCCTGTAATTGTTCAGACAAACCAGTGATTGATGTTATGAGAAACGACCCACGCAGGTACCCTGTAATTGTTCAGACAATCCAGTGATTGATGTTATGAGAAACGACCCACGCAGGTACCCTGTAATTGTTCAGACAAACCAGTGATTGATGCTATGAGAAACGACCCACGCAGGTACCCTGTAATTGTTCAGACAAACCAGTGATTGGTGTTATGAGAAATGACCCATGCAGGTACCCTGTAATTGTTCAGACAAACACGTGATTGATGTTATGAGAAACGACCCATGCAGGTACCCTGTAATTGTTCAGACAAACCAGTGATTGGTGTTATGAGAAACGACCCACGCAGGTACCCTGTAATTGTTCAGACAAACCAGTGATTGATGTTATGAAAAATGACCCATGCAGGTACCCTGTAATTGTTCAGACAAACCAGTGATTGGTGTTATTAGAGACAACCCATGCAGGTACCCTGTAATTGTTCAGACAAACCAGTGATTGATGTTATGAGAGACGACCCATGCAGGTACCCTGTAATTGTTCAGACAAACCAGTGATTGATGTTATGAGAAACGACCCATGCAGGTACCCTGTAATTGTTCAGACAAACCAGTGATTGATGAGAAACGACCCACGCAGGTACCCTGTAATTGTTCAGACAAACCAGTGATTGATGAGAAACGACCCACGCAGGTACCCTGTAATTGTTCAGACAAACCAGTGATTGATGAGAAACGACCCACGCAGGTACCCTGTAATTGTTCAGACAAACCAGTGATTGATGAGAAACGACCCACGCAGGTACCCTGTAATTGTTCAGACAAACCAGTGATTGATGAGAAACGACCCACGCAGGTACCCTGTAATTGTTCAGACAATCCAGTGATTGATGAGAGAAGACCCACGCAGGTACCCTGTAATTGTTCAGACAATCCAGTGATTGATGAGAAACGACCCACGCAGGTACCCTGTAATTGTTCAGACAAACCAGTGATTGATGAGAAACGACCCACGCAGGTACCCTGTAATTGTTCAGACAATCCAGTGATTGATGAGAGAAGACCCACGCAGGTACCCTGTAATTGTTCAGACAATCCAGTGATTGATGTTATGAGAAACGACCCACGCAGGTACCCTGTAATTGTTCAGACAAACCAGTGATTGATGTTATGAGAAACGACCCATGCAGGTACCCTGTAATTGTTCAGACAAACCAGTGATTGATGAGAAACGACCCACGCAGGTACCCTGTAATTGTTCAGACAATCCAGTGATTGAAGCTATGAGAAACGACCCACGCAGGTACCCTGTAATTGTTCAGACAAACCAGTGATTGATGTTATGAGAAACGACCCATGCAGGTACCCTGTAATTGTTCAGACAAACCAGTGATTGATGAGAAACGACCCACGCAGGTACCCTGTAATTGTTCAGACAAACCAGTGATTGATGTTATGAGAAACGACCCACGCAGGTACCCTGTAATTGTTCAGACAAACCAGTGATTGATGAGAAACGACCCACGCAGGTACCCTGTAATTGTTCAGACAATCCAGTGATTGATGAGAGAAGACCCACGCAGGTACCCTGTAATTGTTCAGACAATCCAGTGATTGATGAGAAACGACCCACGCAGGTACCCTGTAATTGTTCAGACAATCCAGTGATTGATGAGAAACGACCCACGCAGGTACCCTGTAATTGTTCAGACAATCCAGTGATTGATGAGAAACGACCCACGCAGGTACCCTGTAATTGTTCAGACGATCCAGTGATTGATGAGAAACGACCCACGCAGGTACCCTGTAATTGTTCAGACAAACCAGTGATTGAAGCTATGAGAAACGACCCACGCAGGTACCCTGTAATTGTTCAGACGATCCAGTGATTGATGAGAAACGACCCACGCAGGTACCCTGTAATTGTTCAGACAATCCACTGATAGATGAGAAACGACCCACGCAGGTACCCTGTAATTGTTCATACAAACCAGTGATTGATGTTATGAGAAACGACCCATGCAGGTACCCTGTAATTGTTCAGACAAACCAGTGATTGATGAGAAACGACCCACGCAGGTACCCTGTAATTGTTCAGACAATCCAGTGATTGAAGCTATGAGAAACGACCCACGCAGGTACCCTGTAATTGTTCAGACAATCGAGTGATTGATGTTATGAGAAACGACCCACGCAGGTACCCTGTAATTGTTCAGACAAACCAGTGATTGATGAGAAACGACCCACGCAGGTACCCTGTAATTGTTCAGACAATCCAGTGATTGAAGCTATGAGAAACGACCCACGCAGGTACCCTGTAATTGTTCAGACAATCCAGTGATTGATGTTATGAGAAGCGACCCACGCAGGTACCCTGTAATTGTTCAGACAAACCAGTGATTGATGTTATGAGAAACGACCCACGCAGGTACCCTGTAATTGTTCAGACAAACCAGTGATTGATGTTATGAGAAACGACCCAGGCAGGTACCCTGTAATTGTTCAGACAAACCAGTGATTGATGTTATGAGAAACGACCCATGCAGGTACCCTGTAATTGTTCAGACAAACCAGTGATTGATGTTATGAGAAACGACCCATGCAGGTACCCTGTAATTGTTCAGACAAACCAGTGATTGATGTTATGAGAAACGACCCATGCAGGTACCCTGTAATTGTTCAGACAAACCAGTGATTGATGTTATGAGAAACGACCCACGCAGGTACCCTGTAATTGTTCAGACAAACCAGTGATTGATGTTATGAGAAACGACCGACGCAGGTACCCTGTAATTGTTCAGACAAACCAGTGATTGATGTTATGAGAAACGACCCATGCAGGTACCCTGTAATTGTTCAGACAAACCAGTGATTGATGTTATGAGAAATGACCCACGCAGGTACCCTGTAATTGTTCAGACAAACCAGTGATTGATGTTATGAGAAACGACCCATGCAGGTACCCTGTAATTGTTCAGACAAACCAGTGATTGATGTTAGTAGAAACGACCCATGCAGGTACCCTGTAATTGTTCAGACAAATCAGTGATTGGTGTTATTAGAGACAACCCAGGCAGGTACCCTGTAATTGTTCAGATAAACCAGTGATTGATGTTATGAGAAATGACCCATGCCATTCGACTGAGACGCATTTCACCAACTCACCGAGCCTCCAGTGGTAGAGCATCTGCCTGGAGTGCGAAGTCCGGGGTTCGATTGTGTCAAACAAAAAGAGTTAAAAGATGGTACTTGTTGCTACCCTGTCTGGCTCTTGGCATTAAGGGGATAAAACAAGGACAGGTCGGCTCGGAGTCACTATACTGTGTCTGAGTTGGGAATTCATGTTAAACTGCAGCATGGTATCTCAGCAGGGTAGCACAATAAACTCGGCATCAGTCCGGACAAGCACAAGCAGCCACACACACACATGCTTGCACCTCCCTATATAAGAGCAATAATTGTGGACGCAACCTTAAAACCCATTTCACCTCACCTCACCTCACCTCACCTCACCTCACCCAAGATGGAGGCTGGTCTTGAACCAAATGGATGAAACATGTAGCTACTTGTAGCAACTGTTCCCCTTTGAAACGAAGTGTCCAATTTCTCATCCAGTATGACTGTGTTGCAGATGTCACACCTACATGCAGAAAGATGCCAGGGTAGAATATTTCCCCAACATCCTACACTTAATGAAAGTGGCAACTACAAGTATATGGATCAAGTAGTCAGACTTCCGACTTGGTTGTCAATGTAGCCAAAAGCCTGGGTGGTAACTTGCTCATAATATCAGTCACTGGATTGGGAGGTGCAGATTCGATTATTTACAGTCTGCCGGACCCATGAAGATCCGGTTTAGAATTGGTCTTGCTAGAATAGCTTGTGGTAAGAGGCAACAGACCGGATCGGGTGGTCAGGCCCGCAGATTGATAGATGTATATTGGGTAGATCAATGCTCATAATGTCAATCACGGGACGGTCTGGTCCACATTCGATTATTTACAGACCGCCATCATATAGCTGGAATATTGCTGGGTGCGGAATTAAACAACAAACAGTCCACTTTCCCATGTCTGGTATATTGTTGAGTGAAACGGGGGAAAAAAGCAGGGAAGTGATTTTTTTCCTCTTTGGGGCAAAAGTGAGTATGGTAAATTAAGATCATTTTCAGCAATAGTCCAGCAATATCAAGGTGGGGGACACAAGAAATGTGCTTCACACATTGTACCCATGTCAGAATTGAACCCAGGCCTTCAGAGTGACAAGGTAATGCTTTCACCACTAGGCTACTCCACTGCCCAGAGGGCACAACAAACTTATGGAGCACACCTGAAAATCCTGGTTAAAATAGATCTTCAGCAACCCATGCTAGTCGCAAGGGGCGACTAAGGGGATCGGGTGGTCAGGCTCGCTGACTTGGTTGATGCATGTCATCGTATCCCAATTGCCTGGATCGATGCTCATGATATC